AAAAAAAAAAAAAAAAAAGAAAAGAAAGAAACGAGCTTCCTCAAGATCTAGTCCATCCTGCATAATCTCCCTTCAGCAGGGATCTCGGCAGAGATCCCTGGGATTGCAATATATTGGAAATGAAGTCTTCCTCGGGTCACGTGGCCCCTTCAGCGTTGCGGAAGGGAGACGTCTAGGACCATATGGACGCCAGACTTTCATTAGCCCCCTCAGGCTTCCGTTTCTGAGGTCGCAGATATAACTTTGAAATGCCCCTCTTGCACGAGAGCCTAGCCTTGTTTTCTAAGTATCTCCCCCTTTTCTGATGACTTGAAGGAGGACAAGGTCGGTGCATTCGCAGGTGGTGAGGCCTTGGACCCAGAAGCAGTGTAACACAGTTCACGCTCTGCTGAACCTCACACTCAGCGCCCCCATCTGTGGCAGTGGCCGGGGTCCTTCTGTCCAGTTTTCCCGAGCCTCCCCAGCCCACACTACATGAGCACTAACCCCTTTCTGCTTATCCCAACACTGTGACAACTGCTTCTTTCTTTTCTGCTCAGTGCCACTTCATTGTCCTTGTGACTCACGGCCACAATTCAATTCTGTCATTGTCCCTGCTCCTGCCTCTTAGAATCTCTCCTCGTGAGTACCTCGGTATTCAGTGAATAGATCAACTTTTTTCTGTGGGCCCAAAAGAGTCAAAGTTATAATTATCGCCTTTAGGAAGAACATAAATCCCCGCAAACATTTTCCAAATTTCAAACACTATGAAAGGGTGCAAAATTAAAATAGCTCCTTTCTCCCAATCTGTGGACTGGTTTTTTGTAAGTCATTCCAGGCTGACCTGTACCCACATATCAGCATCGATGAGTGCCTGAAATCTATTTACACAAGTGCTGTCGTGTTGCTCATGGTACTGGGCTTCGCTTCTTCATTAACAGTAAGTCTTGCAGGGTGCTACCTAACAGCCTAACCCCACGGAGAACATAATATCCCTTGGGAGGTCTTAACTAGATGCAAATCCTTTCACTGCATGTAAATGGGTCAGAAAGACAGATATCCACATCTTCAAGTCAAGAAACTTTCAACAGACATTGCTTAAAAAGAGGCATCTTAAAAATTTAATTCCCTTTGGCTGTGAGTTGCCCCTTCGCCAACTGCTGGCTTTTTAAGGCATTTCCACATACTCCTGTATATTTCCGAGTGCTCAGCTCTGAACAAGCTACTCATTTCTGAGCCTCAGGAGCTTCTGCAGGAGCTAGGAGACCCCCTGGGCATGTATGTGGCGCAGCAGGAGAAGGCAAGCTTGCGAGCTGCTTAAGACCTCACTGCCTCGTGTTCCCAGGCTATCTTGGATGAAGGACTCCTCTCTGCATTGTCCTCATTTGCAAAATGAGAGTCGCCATTGCCTGCCTGGTGAGTGTCAGGGTTCAGTACCAGGGCATCCTTCCTTTCCTTGAAGGGCACATAGTCTGTTTCAGCTATGCCCAAAGAGGAGTGGACAGGGTCCCAGAGGGGCACAGAGAAGGGTGCTTCTGACTGCTAGGGTGTGCAGGGAGCCCTCGAAGGGCACAGGGAAGGGGAGAGTTTCCAGGAGGACCATAAAGGCAGCATCCAATGTGAGAGGCGCTGTGCTAACCTGACGTGGTTTAATCTCATAGCAACCGGGGAGAGACCTGTAAGTCATCATTTCCGGAAGCAGCTTTCTCATTTGCAAAGTGGGGACAACAGTGAGACCTTTCTCATCAGTTGCCATAAAGATCAGTGTGATAATGGCCGCGAAGCACTCATAATAGCTCCTGGTACTGTCTGAGCAAGAACTGAAGAAGCCGCAGCTAGAATTAGAATTAGGGGCATGAAGGGCCAGGGTGGCGTGAAGCTCAGAGGTAGGGCACTTGCCCAGCACGCATGAGGCCCTGAGTTCTAGCCCTCGCACCAGCACACACGCACAGTACATGGGAAGAGATGACACTTCCAGACGATCGCACCAGATGCTGTGCTCGGTATGTCCAGTGAGTCATTTAATCCACAGGACACAAGTGTGTCTTCTGTGGGCCCTGGTGACAAGGGCTGATGGGAATTTTGATCACAAGCTGCCCACAAACCACAGCCGTGCCAGCACCTACCTCCCGTGGTCCCATGGAGCGCTGACGTCCCCACGAGCCCAATCCACCACTCCCTGTCGCGGGAGAGGTGCTGCCGCAGAAAACGCTGGGTGCTCTCATCGCGAACAAAGACTAGATGGCCTCCTTGCCCTCCACACCAGCTCTGGGCCCCGCGGAAGGTGCACAAACTCATAGCAAGCATCTCTGAAGGCCACCTGGCTCTTAGAACAAAAGCTTTCGCTTTCTGGCCTAGCGGCGACAGCCCTAAGCCTCAAGGCAAGCCCCAGCAGTGCCAAGCCTGCTGCGCCCATCCTGGGACCCCTGCCAGAACGGCTGCGCAGAGCTGCCCTTGGGCCTTCATATCCTGGTCCCTTCCCAGTCCTCCCGTCCATCCGTCTTCCTGCCTGCATTTGAATAAAGAAATAGCAACTCCTTTTTGTTTCAGAAACAAAAGCCTTGGGGCGAATGTGCCTGAGTGTTGTCTTTGCCCCCCCACTCCTTCGCTCCGTGCCTGTCGCAGAGCCAATTACCGGGGTCTCGGAGAAAGATAAAATGGCTGTGTCACCTGATTGTCGCCTGGTCAACTGTTTGTATTCGATAAAAGTGCCTTGCCATTGATTTTGCGCCACTACCCAAGGGCCAGAATGATTCAAAAGAAGCCGGTGGCGTGTGGGAGGCAGGAGATAGAAGGACGCAGGAGGAAAGTTAGAGTTATGAGGTGGTGGAGAGACGGAGCAGCACCCACACGCAATCCCACTGTCCAGAACGGCAGCTGGCCCCGAAGATAACCATCCTGTCCCTGGGGTGGCTGGAGTCCGAATGGACAGCGGCCCCTCCCGTCCACCACGTTATCCCTCATGCCTGCTGGAGAATAAAAACGCCCTCCACCTGTATTGATATTGTCATGAAAATAAGCTTTCTTTCAAAACTCAGGCCTGTCCATCTTCACCCACTACCCAAGCCCTCCGAGATGTTTCTGGGCTCCACGGATGAAATACAACTCCCTGGCCTTGTGTGCAAGGCTCTGCGGAGTCCGGCTCTGGCAGTGCCCCCGAGCCACCCCTCCGAGCGCACAGGGGCAGCCCTCTTGCTCCTCGCAGGTGGAAGGGTGGACTGGCGCGGGCCGAGTGCAGTGGCCGCAGCGGTCACCAGGCAGCAGGCACCAGCGAGGATGCCACAGTTCCACCTCCGGGCTTTCACCCACAGGTCAGTGTGGAGATGATGAAATACCACGCTGAGGGTCACTCACTGCCAAACGTTGCGGTGGAGAATTTAGAAATAACCCAAACGTACGCTGATAAACTGGCCAACAAGGTGGGTCCCTCCCAGGAGCCCATTTTAAAGCAAGCCCATCCTTCCCGTACACGTGTGGAAGCCCCTCTGAGATTGCTGTTCGTGTTCACAGCAAAGCGTACACAAACATGCATTCTGTGTGCGGCTGGGTCTTGTAAAGAGCATGTGGCCCTGGCGACCAGCGGGTAGAAGCTAGGTACCCGGGAGGAGAGAGGGAGACGCTCATTTCCGTGGCCGTCTTTTGTGACTCTGTACTCCGTGGAAGTATTCCTTGTTGGAGAATCACAGATTCTCTAAAACACTCCACCGGCTCAGTCACCGCTCTCCCCGCTGTCCGGCCCCTGGGCTGTGATCTTCCTTCACGTGACTGCACTTGTTTTTCTGCCTCATCCCCAGCCTCTCCGACTCTGAAAGGCTTAGCCCAGAAACCACTTCCTCTGTGAGCGCTCTCTCCTGTGAGTTTCCTCTTTCCTTGCTTAGTAATAGCTTTATTAAGATATAGCTCACATACCATTCTGTTAGCTCACTTACAACACTGGGTTTGCGCCGGAGTTTTAGCTCAGTGGCACCACACCTGTCTCACAAGTCCAAGGTCCTCAATTCAATCCCCAGTAGCAAAACAAAACAAAACAACAACAAAAAACCCATAGTGGTGGAGGTCGGAGGATAGCTGAAAGTATGAGGCCAGCCTAGGCTATGTAGTGAGTCAAGGTCATCCTGAACTGCATAGAGAGAGACCTTTTGTCTCAAAATAGATAAATAAATAAAATATTCCGGTCAGTGGCTTTTTGTATCATTACAAGGTTGTGCATCCATTGCTGCGATCAATTCTGGAACGTTTTCATGACCCACAAAGGAACCTCTGTACCCTCTGAGTGGCTGGTCCCCTTCTCCCTGGCTCCTGAGAACTGGTCATTACTTTCTGTTGGGCGGGGCACTCCCTGAAGGTTTACTGAGTAAATGTTTTAGGAAGGGTTTTACAGAACCAACATATCTGTCTCTGGGGTCTTTGATTGCCTGCCTGAATGACGTTTGTTCATGAGAACTTTCAGACTTAGTTAAATTTGGCCAATTGCTTTGTGACTTTACCGGCGGGGGAATTATTTCAGCTGCCAGTACTGGAGATCCTCTAGAGAAGAGAATATCCTCTTTAGAAAAGAAGCTCCCCCATAGGCTCTTTGGGTCGGGATAAGGGACACCTAGAGGGTGTGGCTGAATCGCCAATCCAACCTCACACTGCGTGAAAGGATGGATAAGAGGTTAGTGGTCTGAGATGAGAGGTGGAAGCCAGACCCTGAGGTGGGGCCCTGGAACCTTCCAAACAGGTGCCATGAGTGGCCACACCTTTTTGTTGTTGTTTTGAGACAGAGTCTCACTAAGTAGTTCAGGCTGGCCTTGAACTCACTATGAAGCCCAGGCTGGCCTCGAACTCCCAGTGATCCTCCTGCCTCAGCCTCCCAGTTCTGGGAGTATAGGTGTACATCACCATGCCCGGCTTGTGGCCACACTTTAGAGAGCACAGATGTCTACTATCCGAGTGAAGTAGTCACTTGTATCATACCTGACCTGGGTGAGACCCTCTCTGCAAATGTGCCACCCTCAACGAAGGACAGGAAACCACTGAAGGGCCATGCTGCCCTGTTCTGTAAACAGAACAGATGGCCACAAAGAAAATTTAGCACAGGACATGCAATCTCCCGGCCAAGAGGTCCGAATTTATCTACACACCTGCAGGGACCACAAGCCTTCCAGTCCAGATTCCTTAAATCAGCAGCCCCTCCCCAAGCCCTATAAAACTGCTTCTTCTCCAGCGAGTTGCTGACATCTTTCTCCATCTCCGCCTGCCCACCGTCGGCAAATAAACCAGCCTCGTTGCTCACACAAAGCCTGTGTCCGCGTGTCCTCTCGTGTGCCGTTTGTCACACTTCGCTCCCACGTGGTTTTTCTGTGCCCTGTTTTTCTGTGCTTTCCCATTTTCCCTCCCCAGGCCCTGGCAACCGTGAATCTGTTTTCTGTCCCTGGGGATCTGAATATTCTGGATATTTTATTCAATTTGTGCCATTTCGTGCCACTCTTCAAGAGTATAGGGGATGGGCCGGGGATTTGGTTCAGCAGTTCCGCCGCCTGCCCTGCAAGCGCAAGGACCCAAGTTTGATCCCCGGTACAAAATAAAAAAAGAGCGTAGGGAATGCTTCATTGCTTTATGTGGCTCAGTAACGCGCGTTCCACAGAGAGACCACATGTTGCTTCTCCATCCTCAGGGGGTGGCACACGAGTTGTTTTCCTCCTGAGTTTGGGGGGCAACACCACTTCGCCCCTCCTGGCTCAGAGCAGGGTTCTGCGAACACTGGCATGGCCCGTCTCCTGGGTCCCTGCCCTGACCGTCAGCCTTCCCTTTCCTATGAGCCCTACCCAGCCTCCTGCAGTGGCCCCGCCACACAGAAGAGGGACGGGACCAGCGCCCAGGGAGGACCAGAGTCACCACTGACTCACAGGCTGAGATATGGGCTGGGCAGAGCCGGCCTGTTATCTCCAGAGGCCAAACTTTAATGACTTCCATTAGGAAACGATGTGGAAGGCCCCACACTACCATAATTTATCTCCTGGGCTCGGGGCTTCGTTTATGTCCCTATCTGGAACATGTCCGGAGACACTTGATAAGCAAGCAGATCTGCAGGCTAAATTCCATTTGCGCATTCTGATAAAAATTGCAGACTCCTCGGGTGCGAAATTCATCTTGGTGATGTCAGTTTCCGATGTCCCTTAACCTCTGTGTCCATGAGGCTCACACGGAAAGCGAGCGGGACAGAACCAGCTCGATGTGGGCAATGTCCAGCCATCCAATCCAGCCACAGCCTCGATGGGGTCGGTAGCATGAAAACAAAAAAGATGGCGAGTTTGGTTTCAGTATGGCCTTAGGCCCATGAAAAGAGCCCTAAAGACCAGTTCCCAGGATGGACGTCCTCACTGTGGACTGCAAGTATGCGCTGGTACAAATTTTAAAAAAGGAATTCTCGCTGCTTCTCCCACTGCCCTAACACATTTCTAGTTCCTGTGCCTGTCACACGGCTGTGCACATCCGCTTCCCTTTCGCGTGGTTTAGTCCCCGCCTGCTGCGAACGGCTTCTTCCATACTCTGTAGCCGACACCCTAAGTCCCCGCCCACTCATAGCTGAGGGCTTCTAAAAGCAAGCTCCCTTCAGGGTAATGGGTCTGCGAAGCTGTTCTCCCTGTCCTCTGGTCTCCGGCATTTCCATGTCTCCTGTGTATTAGCTGTCATGGCCCAGTGTCTCCTTGTCATTACTCTGTGGTCATGAACTGCTGTGCTGCTCATCTCCCCACTCTTCTGCTGGTATCTCCCACATGACTCTTTTGCACCCCAGTGCTCATCTTGGGGCTGCTTCTTGGGGAGCCCCAGCATACACAGGAATATCCAGGGCTGGGATAACTGGACCACGGGGCATGAGCAGCTCTGAGATTTTTGCCTAGTCAAGTGCCATCAAGTGGCCCCCTGTGGGTTCTGCTGCAGGTCCCACCTGAAGCCTCAAGCTCGCAGACCCAGGCCTGGAGCGAGCAGCTCTAGGTGCCTCCCTGATGGCTTCCGTCTCACCCTTGGGGAGCACGTCTCAGAAGCAGCTGGTAAGCTCAGTCCCTGGAAAGGTGAGCAGAACTCTCTTGGTGTTGACTGTCCGTGTGCAAGTGGCCTAGGGTTGCTCATGCGTGGCGCTCAGTATGTTATTTTTATGGGGCGGCTGGAAATGTGGCCCTTGGGGGACTTGCACAGTGGAGGTTGGGGCAGGGCAGCTTGAAGAAAGGGTGTCTCGGGGAGAGATCGGAATGCCAAAGCCTGGCCTCTGATGAGTACCCGGCACCACACCAAAGACCATCACCCCAGTCTCCGCCACTGAGAGCTCTGCCATTCCTGATTCCACCTCTGCACATTAAAAAACGGTTTACATTCACCTCGGGGTGAGTGCACGTACTCACCATATCTTAATTCTTTTTATTCCCCTTTCTTTCTTCTCCTTCCCTGCATCCTGGATCCACTTCCCCTTTTCAAAGGATCTATCTCCTTATTTCCGTTATCTTTCTTGCTATTTTTAAAAAACTAGGCCAGGCGTGGGGGCACACCCCTGTAATCCCAGCCCTGGGGAGGCAGAGGCAGAAAGATTGCCGTGAGTTCAAGCTAGAACTGGGCTACCTAGTGAATTCAGGGCCAAAAAAAAAAAAAAGTTTGTGCTGCTTATGGGCCGGGGATTCAGCTCAGTGGTTCCACTGCCTGCCTAGCAAGCGCAAGGTCTCAAGTTCAATCCCAGGTACCACGGGGGGGGGGGGACTACTTATACTTTGGGCTTATCATAGAAGTTATGTGATGTTTAAACTTGTACGTCTCATTTATTTCACTTAGCATTATGGTCTCAAAGCACATCCATTTTCCTACAAATGACTTCCGACCATCTTTCTTTTGTACCTTATGTATATTTTGGGGTTCTCATCTAAGAGAGACTCTGAGGTATTTAAGCCTTTGGGCCTGATTTAGTTCACTAACATTATGGTCTCAAGGTGCATCTATTTTCCTACAAATGACTTGTTATCCTTCTTTATGGTAGTTATACTCTGTTGTGTGTGAATACCACATTTTCTTTATCCAGTCCTCTGTTCATGGACATACAGGGCATTTCCAAGATTTGCTACTGTGAATCGTGCTGCTATAAGCATGGATATGCACGTGTCACTACAACGCAATGTCCTTAACTCTTTGGCAAAGACGTCTAGAAGGGGAACAGCTGGGTTGAGCGGCATAGTTTTAGTTTGTGAGGCGTCTCCACACCGACTTCCATTGTCATTGTACTAGTTTACGTTCTCACCAACAATGTAGAAGGTCCCTTTCCCCCTGCACCCTCTCCCGTGTGTTCTTCTTTGCCCTCTTGGTAATGGCCGTTCTTTTTGAGGTAAGACGGAATCTCGGTGTTGTTTTAATTTGCCATTCTCTGGTGGCCGTCGATGCTGAGTGTTTTTTCATGTATCTTTTGGCCATTCACGCTTCGTTTGAGACGTGTCTGTTCACTTCATTGGCCCATTTTTTGAATGGGTCATTTATTGGGGGGGGTCTGGCTTTTTTGAGTTATTTGTAGCCTCTAGATACTAGACCTCTGTCAGAGGAGTAGCTAGCAAATTTTTCCGCATCCTGTCCACCTCCACTGTTGAAATTCTGTTTCCTCTACCGAGAGTGCTTGTCTTCCACACTTGCTCCCGTGCTCATACTTTTCCCGGAATGTCTCACACGTAAAGCTGTTCTCCAAAGCCTTCTCGTGTCTAAGAGGAGCTGTCACATCTCCTCTGTCCTCAAACAAGTTTAATCTGCTTCTGTCTTAACAGTCTAAAGGTACCAACAAGCTTTAAAAAAAAAAAGGAGTAAGAGAAGAGTAACAGAAGCTATAAGGACTTGACTCCCGTATTTGTCATCATTGTGCTTCACGGCCACTGTAGGCCAAAATGTGTCTCGGGAAGGTCTGCTGAAGTCCGGCTCCCTGGTGCTTTGACCGGTGCGATCCAGCTGGATGAGGTCACCGGGAGTCGTTTTCGGGGAGGAAAGGGAAATTGGGACACATTGAGAGCGGAGACGCCTAGGGAAGAGCAGTGTGTGGAAGTGGGGTGTGGACGAAGCCACCTGGCGTGAGGTACTCTGCGATGGCAGCCCGGGGCCAGCACTACGATGCGCACAGGGACAGAGAGGCCCCTGACAGGACAGGGCTGAAAGAGAGGAACGCCTCGTCGACTATCGAGGGGCAGGGCTGGCAGGACTATCGCCCAGGCTATAACCTGAAAGTCGTTTTTCTTTTTATTGAATTTTTGTCTAGCATCAACATTTGATGGGAAGCGGAAGTTTCCATCCCAGGCCTTAGAAGACCTTTCCTTTCCTACCGCGAATGCCCGCTGTGGTCAGTCTGTCAGCCCTTCCTCCTGAGCAGGGCCTACGTATAAAACCTAGGATTTGCCTGGGCAGCTCCCTGTTAGACTTTGAGACCATTGAGAGCAGAGTCTGCGACCTCCTGTCCTTCTATCTCAGTGCTCAGCAGGCCAAGACTCCTCTTACACATCGCTGCGGCGGATTCAGCCCTTTGCTCCGTGGCGGTCCCCACCCCGGGAACCCCGGGACCCTGTCCGGCCACATCGCCGCTGTAGGGGCAGCTGCCAACTCTGTGGGGACTTTGCCTGTCACCTTCAGCCCTGCTATCTGTCATACCCTTGTTATCTGCTCAGCTTATCACGCTGCCTAATTAAAGGCATCATCTTAGAGGCTAACTTAATTGGAAAATTGCAAAGTAATTTAGATATGATAACATGATCTCCAAAAGAGAAATATTAACTTTGTAACAAGAGATACAGAATTGCAAAATAAGGCCATGGGGTTTTTATAGTACGTGCATGCGCACACACTCACACATACACATACCCTCACTCACACAAAACCCTTCTGTATGATTTCAGATGTTATTTCTTAACTTCACGATTGTTTGACGGCATAAAAGGGCAGCCGCCTCCCCTATCCCTGCCCCAAGTTTCCCAGGTCAGAGCATGGCACAGCCAAACCCTCCTCCCCACCGTGCGCGGTGTGACCGTGGGCCAAGGCACGACGTCGCCAAGCCTCAGAGGCCTCTCCCGTGAGATGGGGACCACAGCGGCTTCTGTGTGAGGAGCAGAGACACCGCGGGTGCCCAGAGCAGGCACACACGCCGAGTGCCAGCTGCGTTCCTTTGTCAGCCCCAAGGTTAGTGTTCCTCCTCTTCCCAGGAAGAGAAGGGAAGGCTTCTGGTGGGGTCCCAGACCCTCACGGGGGGACAAGGGACTGCACACCCAGCCTCCCACACCCAGTAGATCCTGTGCTGCCAGCTCTGAGGCTACTGTATGACTTGGGGAAGGGCCGTCAGAGCCCCCAGCTGGAAGGGCCTGTTAGGCCACACTGCAACGCAGCCCTCTCTCCCTCTGTTCTGTTCTCCTCTGCCCCCCACACCTGTGGACACCCTCTTCCCTCCCGCCGTCCTCTCCTGGCTCCTACTCACTTCACCTTCGCCCTCCCCTGCCTCAGCCCCACACAAAGCCCTGCGCTGCCATGCTGGGTGCTGCCCGGTCTGCCCAGCAGCGCCCATCAGCAGGTCCTCCCCCCACCTTCTCCGCAGGCCCAGTGCACCGGTCCCCTTCAGGTCCCGGCCAAGGCACTGGCCCTCACAGGAAGCCCGCTGTGATGTGCCTTGTCCTCCCTGTGCACCGCCACCTTGGAGGATTCACGGTGCTTCCTCTGCTGCCACAGGGCTGTCGCCCGAGATGTGGACCTGCTCCTGCTGGACGGGGGCTGCCACGTTTGTGGAGCAGATGGACGGACGGACTCATTCACACTCTGCGCTCTTTGACACCGAAGCCTGGGCGCCCCGTCTCAACCGCCTCTGTCGCTTCAGTCACGTGAAACGCCATCCTACCAGCTCTCAGGCCGGTGAGCACTGTCCACAGAAGCTTCTGGAAATGTTCTGTGTCTGAACTTTCCCATGTGGTAGCCACAGAGCCCTGGTGTGGCTGCCGTGTGGGACAGCACAGCTCGGCTGTCACATGGGACCTGCCCTGGATGTGTCTCCTGACTTAGGACTCCATGGCCTGTGATATTCTTTCTTTCTTTCTCTCTCTTTCTCTCTCCCTCTCCCTTTCTTTCTTTTGGCAGTACTGGGGATTGAACCCAGGGCCCTTCCACTGAACTACATCCACAGTCCTTTTAATTTCTCTTGTTAAGTTGCCTGGGCTGGGCTTGAATTTGTGACCCTCCTGCTTCAGGCTCCTAGAGTGCTGGGATGCCAGGCGTGCACCCCCACACCTGGCTGCCTACAGTGTTTCTTACAAACCTTGCACCATCTTATCCCTGAATTGCTTTCTACCCTATCACAGAGGTAGGGGAAAAGAACGGAGGTGACCAGGCTGCCTTGGTTCAAAGCCTGCTCGGGGCGGGGGCAAGCTAATCCCGTGTGCCTCGACTTCTTTATCTGCAAAATGGGGCTAAACCACTGAGCTCAGGGTTATGGTGAGGAGGCCTCAGGTAGAACAAACAGCGCGGCTCACATAGGAAGCTCGCACAGCATGGGCTGTAATCATCTCCGTCCCTCAGGGCCAGCCTCCTCCCATCCCCTACAGTGCCTCGTTGTCACAGCATCTTCCTTCCTGGAAGAGCACCTTGTCTCTGCCTATCCGAGTCCTTCGCTATCCTGGGCTGTGCACAACCCCTCTGGGAAGCCTCCCGTTCCCACCCACAGGTGAGCAGCTCCCCCTCCTCAGGGGGCCCAGGTTGCTGCCTTCCTGGGCCTTTGACAGATCCATGAGTTTTTCCTCCTAGGCAATAAAACATGTTTCATTAGAGTAAAGGACATATAGGCATTAATCCCCTCTAAATACTCCCTCTTGCTTAAACATACTTGTGTGTTTTTTGGTTTTGAGACAGGGTCTCACTATTTAGGCCAGGCTAGCCTCGAACTTACTATACAGCCCTCAAATTCATGGTGATCCTCCTGCCTCAGCCTCCAAAGTGCTAGGGTTATGGGCATGTGGCACTCTTTTTTTTTTTTTCATGTGCCACTCTTTGAACACACTTTTCCCATCATTCTTACCACTTTCAGAAGAACTTCTAGAAGTCCTTTTTGCGAGTACCCATAGTTTCACTGTCCTAGCTGCCCTGATGTCCTGAATTGATTAAAAAATCTACCTTTTCATGGTCATTTTGACTTTGAGGATGAGCCAGCAGTCACACAGTGACAGATCCAGTGAATAAGGTGGATGAGGACACACTGTCATGCTTTTATGAGCCTGCCTTTCTGCTGGATGGCACTCAGCAGCAGCCTTCACTGTGTTTTTGATCACAGTTCCTAAAGACACTCATGGAAGAGCACTTCCAGAGCTGCTGCAGAAAGTGGTAAAGAATGGTGGGTTAAGTGCTTCTGAGGGGGGGTCTGGGGGATGCTCGGCAACTTGTCTTTTACTGTAATAAGAAATTTAAATTTAAGTATTCACCACATATTTTGATCCTTTGTGTTATAATTGCCAGTTTGATGTAATTTTTTTGGTTTTTTATGGGGGGGGCGTAATGGGTACAGCACCCAGGGCAAAGTGGTTCCAGCGGCCGGGAAAGCACAGGCAGGGGACTACTCCTGGGGACAAGTGTCATATCCAGCTCCTCCCAGAGCAGTGAAGACGCAAGACAGAGGGGCCAGAGCCGTGCGCCGGCTCCCTGTCAGCTCCGTTTCGAGAGGGAGGACACACTGGCCACATGAAGGCACCGAGGACCCCACAGGCAGGACGCAGTGCCTTTGGGAAATGAAGGCCCAGCCAGGGCGCCGAACAGAAAGACCGTCGTAGGAGCCCAGGAGGGAGAGGTGGGTCTCGCCATTACTTCCATGTCCCCAGAACTTGGTACACAGTGGGTGTCAGGTCTAAGAAGGCACAGAATTGCTCTCAAGCATAGTACGTGCTCAGAGGTCGGTGTTAAATGAGTGGACGATGCTGGATGTTGAAGGAGGGCGAGTCTCGCACCACCTGTAGTGACACCGCCTGTTAGCTATCCAGGCCATTCCTTCCTGTTCTCTTGAGTGCGAGATCCTGATTGGGCGCCCACTCTCACCCCACGAGCACTATGATTGGCTTAAGGGGAGAAGGGCTGCTTGGGTGAGGACCCAAGTGGTCAGAGTCCAGCCAATGGGGTGTGAGAGAAAACCTTCCCGGGCCCTGAGAGACTTTCCCCCAGCATAACGCAGGGCCTGGAGTGAAGGCATCGTCTCTAACCTGCCTGACAGCACAAGGACAGGAGGCCAAGCTCTGAGGGTGGCAGCAGGACAGTGGAAATGGGCACCAGCAGGGAATGACCTAGGTGAGCTTCAGGCTCAGGAGGAGCCAGACAGAGGCAGGGCTGCTCCCTGCAGCCACTGCCTCGTCCCCTCAAGGGGACACCCTTATGGACTGGACTTTGTCCCCTGGAATTATATATATGTCAAAGCTTTAACCTCCAGACCCCAGAAGGTGACTAGAAATGGAGCCTTTTACAGGGAGATTCGGTTAAACCAAGTGCACCGGGATGGCCCTGATCCAGAGGTCCTCATAAGGGAAGGAAATGTGGGTGCAAAGAGACATCAGGCTGACACCAGAGGACAGCGGGGAAGGCCCAAGCTGGAGGCCTGGGGAGAAACCTAACCTGCCAACACCTTGCTTGATTCATTCACTGACTGACAATTGCAGTACTGAGGAGTTGAACTCAGGGCCTTCACACTGAGCTGCACCTCCAGCTCCTTTGACACTTAAAACATTTTTTAAAAGTAAATTTTGAGATAGCCTCAGAACTAATTCAGATATCTGTTGTGATCCGTTTATTATCACCATTATTTAAAAATAAAAAAGCTTTTATCTCACCATGCGATTGTGCCCAGAGCTTGGGACCAGGGCGATGCAACCTGTCCCCAGTGTTGCAAACAATGCCACACCAGCCCTGCCGGGCCTCCCTGGTGCCCGTCCGCCAGCGGCTCCGCTGCCCGTTTCTTTGCTGTACGAAGCCAGCCAACACCCACCACGCTCAGGGCTGCCCCCGCTGCAGCTGGGCTGCTGGCTCTTCTTCCTAATTCCGTCTCTCAGTTGCTGCGTGAGCTGGGCGAGCTGGTTAGGTTCTCCGATGATTCCTTCATCTCCTCCACGGTGCTAAGAACGCGCAGGCTAGGGCTGCATCAGGCCCGAGCGAGCCGGGACACAGGCGGCTCCACCCAGAGCTTGACTCAGTGCAGTTCCGAGCCGCTAGCTTTTCTGAATTTACAGAGCTGGTCCGGGGAGGAAGAGCGCAGTGACCTTGTCACTCGAGCGAGTTCGCCGTCATCTCCCGGAGCCCTAGGTGTGCGTGCAACAGGCGTTCTCATCCCACCTTCGCGCGCAGGGACCGTGCGGCCGGCGGCCGGTGTGACATCGAGACACGAATACTGGGGCGTCCCCGAGCTGTCCCGTCCTGACAGCCGTGGTTTCACTCCAGACAGGCCAGGCAGTTGAACTGTTGCTTTTCACTGTTCTTCTGGAGGAAAGTCTGGTTTCCTGTCTTTACTTTTTAAATGGGTACGTAACACATTTTTGTTGCCTTCTTCCAAAAAGAAGACCAGGCCTCCAGTTGCTGTTTGCGTGTGATTTATGGGAGGGACGATCGGAGCTCAAGAAGAAGAGCAAAATCGAGAACAAACCCTCCCCATCTCTGCGGAAGGCCCCACTCCGCACACAGCGGTGACCCGCAGACTCGGCTCCGATGGCCCCGGCTCCTTTCCCGGGCCGAGCGGCGCTCGGAATGGATCGTCGAGGGCAGCTCACCAGGCGCGAACTGCCCAGTCCTCTCCACCTCTTGGGAATGAGCTTCTCCTTGGTTGAGCCAAAAGTGAAAGCGGAGAGGGGAGTGGAGGATGGCGAAGAAGAGGATTAAAGATTAGCCGGGACCCAGGCTTCGGGAATTGACCTTTGACCGAGCAACATCAAAGAAAACGAGGCCAGGCAGCCGCGGAGGGGTGGGAAGCAGACGGACCTGTGAGGGAGGGAGGGCGCGCGGCTCCTCGGAGCGACCCAGTCCCCCCATGGACGTCATATTCGGCAGGAACAAGAGAGAGCAGCTGGAGCCCCTGCGGGCCCGGGTGACAGGTGAGCGTTCTGCAGAAACCACTGGCTCTCCTTGCGCTGAGATGGACGTCTGTCCCGTAAGCTGTTTCTGGGAGATGTGGAAAACAGCCTAGAGGGGTAAAACGGACGCTGAGTTGGGACCCGCTGTCGGTGCCGATCCACTCGTGAGTCTCCGGGAAGAGGGCGGGAGTCATCCTCACGATTTCCAGGAGCAGCGTGGAGGGTGCCCCAGGCGCCCATGACTCGCAGTGGATGCGTCCCGCATCGGCCCCTGAGCGCCCCGCGCTGTGCGCGTCCCGGGGGCGCCCCCCACCCGGCCCACAGCCCCAGGGAGACCAAGCTGCATGGCCCTGTGGCTTGTTCCCTTCCCCTCCTCCCCTCTCCTCCATCCCTTTCCTTCCCGGGACCGGGTGTTAGGGCCGAGAGCTGCAGGCAGCTGGGACACTCGCCTTCTGGCAGGGGGCTGGGGATGTTTGTCACCAGCAGCCGATAAGACTTTTATGTCTGTTTCTCCGGATGACAAAGATAAGACTCAATCCATAACTCTCTCTATATGTGTAGGTGTATGTTATGTATATAAGATCTGGGACGGTAAATTAGGGTATTTAAGGAAAGAAAAAGCTGTATTTCCATCTAATAAGCACTATTCTTTTTTTTCCTTTCTTTTCTTTCTTCTCAGTACTGTACTGGGGCCTTCACACTGAGCTATATCCTTAGCTCTTTTTAATTTTAAATTTTGAGACAGGTTCTCATGAAGTCATTAAATTCTTCAGGCAGGACTCAAGCTTATGATCCTCCTACCTCAGCCTCCCATCTTAAGTACTCTTTTTTTTTTTTTTTTCCTGGTCCTGGGGATCAAACTCGGGACCTTGTGCTTGTGAGGCAGGTGTGGTGCCACTGAGCTACATCCCTGGTCCCTATCCACTCTTAATATTTGTTTTTCTCTTAAATTCTTATAAATAGATGTATATAACTATTTTATATTTGAGAAATATAAGTAGAGATGAATGTTATGTTTGAAATATATGAGTATTTTCTACAAGCAAATGTGTTTGCAATTAATTAATTAGTTTTGGGATTTTTGAGGCAAGGCCTTGCTACGTAGTTCAGGTTGTCCTGGAACTCACTATATAGCCCAGGCTGGCCTCAAACCCACAGCGATCCTCCTGCCTCAGCCTCCTGAGTGCTGGGATTATGGGGATGTACCACCATGCTTGGCTACTTTATCATTACAAAAAGATCCCAGGGTGCCCCACCCTCCCGCCTGGGATCCAGGCACTTTTTTGACCCATCCTGCCTCCCTTTGCACCTCATGGTCAGTGACAGCATGGAAATGCTTGGAAAGTTCAGAAAACACGGATCCCAGACCCCGAGGGGCCGGATGGATACCAGGACCCTCTAGAGTGGCAGTTCCCAAAGGGGTCCCTAGGCACCTAGAAGCAGCATACATCCTTGTCCCCCAACCCCCAGAGCTGGCCATCCCTTCCTTCACAAGCCCTCCAGGTACTTCTGAGTTTAAGACGGGAAGCTAAGGCAGGAGGAGGCAGTGACTTGCCCAAGGCCATGCGGCCAGCTGGGAATGAGCCTGGGATGCTGCATCCAGGACCTGAGGCTGAGCAGCTGGACACGGTCCTTGGAAAGATGGCTCAGCAAGGCTAGGTGCCTGGGTTGAGGCCTGCAAGGGACTGGGCCAAGGTTCTGGCTTTGCGTCTGGTGGTACATTAAGGCAGAAGTCAGCCTCCAGGGAGCGCTGACAGGGGCCCTTGGACGGGACACCAGCGGTGTCTGCCGTGGCACCATCTAAATTTTGAATGATTTATTTGCAGCACTGAGGATTGAACCCAGCGCCTTCACACTGAACGACATCCTCAGTCCTTTGTTGAGAATAGGTCTCACTGAGTCACCCAGACTGGGCTCTAATTTGTGATCATCCTGCCTCAGCCTCCCAGAGTTTTGGGATTACAGGTGCGAGTCACCACACCTGGCTACAGACCATTTTAGAATAGTAGTCGCTGCCCATAACAGGCCACATAGGTACCTCTAAATTTTCTAGTAGACACATTCAAAAGGTAAAAAGAAATAGTCAAAGTAAACTTTTTAATTTTTTTTTTTTGGTTGATTTTTTGAGACAGGGTCTCACTATGTAGTTGAGACTGACCTGGAACTCACTACATAGCCCAGCCTGGTCTCGAACTCACAGCGATCCTCCTGCCTCAGCCTCCCAAGTGCTGGGATTACAGGCACACTCCACCACACCGGGCCTTTAATTTGTATTTTTTATAAATTTTAACAGTGTCTTTCATTTACGACAACATGAAGTTACTATAAAACAAGACTGACCTGACTCACTACATAGCCCAGCCTGGTCTCGAACTCACAGCGATCCTCCTGCCTCAGCCTCCCAAGTGCTGGGATTACAGGCATGCTCCACCACACCGGGCCTTTAATTTGTATTTTTTATAAATTTTAACAGTGTCTTTCATTTACGACAACATGAAGTTACTATAAAACATTGTGAATGAGATTTTTCTTTTTTTCATACTGAGTCTTTCAAATCTAGTGTGTTTTATCCTGACAGGAGGGACACTGAAATTCAGACCAGCCACCTAGACTACTCAGTTGTGGCCATATTGGACAGCACAGTTCTCGAATGTTCTTTCTCATGTCTGTGTGAGGCTCATTCCCGGCTGTCCTGCCCCAGGAGCTGTCACACCTTCCTGCTCTCCTCCCTGTGGAGGTTCTGTAACCCCTTTTACACTTTTGAGACACTCCTTCGAGCTCTTTGGTTGGCACGTGGAAACTGGCATCTAAGCATCCTTTCTTCTGCCAGGCAGGATTCCTCCCTGGCTGCAGGGCACCCTGCTTCGCAATGGGCCTGGGATGCACACGGTGGGTGACAGCAGGTACAACCACTGGTTCGACGGCCTGGCCCTGCTACACAGCTTCACCATCAGGGACGGTGAGTGTTCTGTGACGGGCGGCACATAATGCTCCCTCCCGGTTCCGGAGGCCGAGAGTCTGCACTGGGCCTTGCAGGCGCAGGCAGAAGTCAAGGGGTGCAGGGCTGGCTCCTTCCGGGGGTGCCAGAGGAGAAGCCACACCCGCGCCTTCTCCACCGCTTCGTGGCTTGTGGCTCCATCTCTGCCTTCAAAACGGCAGCTAAGTGTGCTGCAGCCGTGCGGTCTCAGCCTGTGTTTCTCTCTCCCTCCTTTCCCCTCTCTCTGTTGTCACACCTCTTTCTGTGACTCTGACTTCCCCGCTTCCCTCTTTGTTTTTCTTTTTCTTTTTCTTTTTGAGACAAAGTCTCACTAAGTAGTCCAGGCTGGTCTTGAACTCACTAAGTAGCCCAAGCTGGCCTCTCATTTAAGGCAACCCTCCCGCCTCAGCTTCCGGCGTGCTGGAATGGAGGGGCAGCATTCTGCCCTCCACGGACTCGTGTTTCTCTGGGATAATGGCCAGGCTCCCTTTCCTGGTCATCTTGCAAAGCAGCCAGCGTTCTTACTAAGGTGGGCAAGAGCACATGGGCCCTCACAGGCTCTGGACTCAGACGTGCGTCAGAACAATCCCAGAAGCGAGCATTTCGGAAAAGTCCGAGCAGTTGTTCAAACTCACATGCATTACAAAAGGTGCTATGCCAGCTCTGTCCTCTTATAACCGGAATTGACAGGAAAAGCAGGAAGGGGGATTATACCCTGCCCGCTGCCCTTCTGCTCTCTTCCCCGTGTCTGGGGGCGCGCACCCTCCCCACAGAGCAATGTCGGCTGCCAGACTGCAGCACAGGGGCATCCCTGAGCCCTGGCCCTGGCCATGGTGTAGGGCACACTCGGAAACGCTCCGGGGCCAGGGTAGTGGGACAGGGCAGAAGTGTGTTGGTGGGAAGGGCGATACTTTCCCAGCTGCACCTCTCAGTATTTGTTACGGAGAGGTTGCTGGGTGCTACCTCCCTGCCTACAGGTCAGCGCTGTGGAAAAAGGCACCGCTGTGTACAGAAGAAGGCCCAGAGAGGCCGAGTCAATTACCCAAATATTGCACAGCACTAAGGTGTTTTAAATTCAGTGCTGTCCCCAGTCAGAATCCCAAATCCTAATCATTGTGCAATTTTGCCTGGCTCCCCTCCCACCAGCCTCTCCCCAGTGCAGTCCTCTCAGTGCTGCCAGATCACTAGTGCTGATACAGCGCAGCCTGACCTACCACTCCTCTACAACACTCAGCGGCTCCCCATTGTCTAGCAGTGGAAACATAAACCAAAAATGTTCAGTTCCGCTCTGCCTAGCACATGCGGTGGGAATGCACAGGGAATCGGGAGGCCTGGTTTGTAGATAACCCAGAGCCAGTATTTCTCCCTCCCTCAGAACCCCCAGGATGTTCGTTACAGCTGCAAATCCAGAGATCCAGGATCTCCCAGGGCCGGAGCGACTCAACCGCCAAGGTACACACTTCCACAGCGACCTCTGCGGCCCCACGACCAAGGTCATCAGAAACGCTGCGGGCTGGGGAACAGCCTTCTGTAATGCTTAACAAGTGCTCAGATGGCCAGGTGTGGTGCCACCTGCCTGTGATCCCAGTTAGCAGGAGGCTGAGGCAGGAGAGTTGTAAACTCAAGGCCAGCCTGGGTGATTTAGGGAGATTGTCTCAAATTTATTTCTTTATTCTGTATTCCTTGACTTATTTATATTGCAGGACTGGGGATTGAAACTAGGGCTTTCCCACTTTTTTAGCCCCCTCCAGTCAGGATCACTAAATTTCAAAACCCTCATAATAATACTAGTAATGATGATGATGATAATAATAATAATAAAATTGGAAAGATTGGAAAAGGGCGCAGCGTGGAGGAGGGAAGCCATGGGACATAGGAGTGTTCTTCTAAGTCTAAAACTTCAAAGTAAAGTCTGTTTTAAAGCAGGCATAGGTCAGCCTTCAACAGTGATCATTTCCCACTAAGAGGGGACGTTGTCTCCCCAGGATTTGCATGCTGGGAAGTGTGTGTACATGTGCACGTGTGTGTGCGCGTGCGCGTGAGTCCCCTCTGCCCGGCAAGATGTCACGCTTGACCCTTTCCCAGATGCCAGGCAGGAGCAGTCTATTTCCGGTGTCCCTTTGGAAAGAATTTGGTTAATTGGTGCTGGGAGGAAGGAAACAGGTGGCTGCTGCTTTGATCCTCAGCCTGCAGCCTGGGGTCAGCTGAAGCAAATCCAGAGACACAGTTCCCTGGGGCCCTGGGTGATCCCAGCTGCGTGCTGGATGGTTCTAGGAAAGCACGGCCTGAGTTTACATTTCCAGTGAAGAGAATCCAGCCTTTCAGCCAAGTGCCCACCTGAGCAGGGCCCGGAACCCCAAAGCCAGTGCCTTGTGGGTGGTGACCGCCCCGTGAGCGAGGAGAGAGGAAGACGGGCTGAGCCTGGAGCCCGCTCTGTGTGGCTCTCGGCGGAGGACCACATCTGTCCCCTGCTGTGCCCAGAAGGGACCCGCGAACGTGGTGTGCACTGCTGCGTGGCACAGAAGACTGAGTGGGCAGGGAGACCCCTGGGGTACCTAGGTGGGTCTGAGTCGAAGGAGAGGCGAGGATGACACAGACCCCAGAGTGACAGAGCCACAAGCCGAGGAACACGGGAGCCCCCAGAGCTGGAGAAAGCAAGGAGCGGACTCCCCAGGAGTCTCCAGAAGGAAGTAGCCTGTGGGAACCACTCCACTGTGTCTTCCAGAACCACAGGGACGCAGATGTGTGTGTGTGTGTGTGTGTGTGTTAAGCAGTTCGTGACCACCTGTTTCAGCAGCCCAGGGAAACTCAGGCAGTCTGGAACTGGGGCGGGGTGCCCACGGCACATGTGTGCAGAGGGCACTCTGTATCGTGTACAGCTCTGAAAGGTCCGCCACCACCGGTCTAGAACCATCTGGAGTACTCTCCATGGCCTGGCTGAGAATCCCTGCTTTATGCAATGATTGAAAACTCTTCTGGCGGGGGGACACATGAAACAGTTCTGAGCCTCTACTGGTACACGGGACTTGGCTGTACTCAATAGCAAGCGTTACTCCGGGAGGCTGACACTGTCCGAACGGGCTTCTGAGGGCAGGCCTCCTCGCACGCAATGGGACGGCGGGGAACATACAGCCTTGCAGACCCATCCTCCCTTCCCTAGAGGGTTACTAACACGAAGGGAGGAGGCCAGCCTGGGAGAGGATACCAAGATGACAGGAGGGATGCCAGCGTGGACAGAGAGATGGCCGATGTCTGGACAGTGCTGGCCAGCACTGAGTGTGTTTGTGCCTCCGTCCCCTCGTGTAGAAACGGAGCTCAGGCAAGCACGCTTTCCTTGCCCTATTGTTGTGTCTCAGGTGAGCAGAGGTGAGTGTGTGACCGCACACACCAAAGGCTGGCTGCATCCGGCACTGGAATAAAAGGATCCTGCCCTGGGGAACGGCCCTCCCCAGTAAAGGCCCCCAGAATGGCGGACATCAATTTAAAGCTCTGTAAAGGGGCCGGCCTGGGACTAACCTGCCGCTTCTCTTTCAGGCGAGGTCTACTACAGGAGCAAATACCTGCGAAGCGATAGCTACAACGCCAACATGGAGGCGAACAGGATTGTGGTGTCAGAGTTTGGGACGATGGCCTACCCAGACCCCTGCAAAAACATCTTCTCCAAGTAACTGCCCATTTTGAATCCGACCGCATTCCATGCTTTGTTTTTTATATCCTTGGTGGTCAAAACAACCAGCCTTTGTTTCTTTGACAGTTCTCTTTAGGGTGGGTAAAGACGCGGCGTGGCTGGCCTCCGACCAATCTCTGAGTCACTCTTAATCATAGATCCTCAGAGAGGCCAAGAGCATTCCGCAAAGTATTAGAGACACTGCCACACAGTGGGTGGAACGGTAGTTCGGAATAATTATCTGCCAGGATTACAAAAGCACATTCCCTTCGGTCTACAGATATATTCCACGGTGCGTGGGATGAAGATGTACAGGTTACGGGCTGCACCCTTAGCTAGCACAAGAAACCGAAAACAGCGTAAATGGTCAACAACAGGGACGTCAGAAAGCCATAAAGCTGTGCAGGAAAAGGCCACGTTGATGTAAAGGGGGTAAAGATGCGCTCCGTGCTGTCTGCAAAGATTTCCGAGGCTGAGGAAGAAAAAGACAGCAAGGCTTAGAAGGCGCACACGATGTGCTATGTTTTCTGTTAGACAGCGGGAGGAAGTCTGTATTTATTTCTGCTTACGTCACCGTGAAGAAATCGGAAAGGGGGTTAAGGGTGGCCGAGAGGACCGCAAGGCTGGGAACCTCTTTACCGCGTGCATGTGTGGTCATCTGGCTTAGGACGCACACGCGTGTGTTACTCGCTCCACGGTCCAGTTCTTGGCCAGGGAGCAACCTGCGGCGGGCATCTCCTTTCTGAGGTTCTTCAGACCTAGAGAGGCTGTGAAAGCAGAGGTGACATCATCCCTCCCGGGCACCAGGCAAGCCCTGCAGTCCTCTGGCAGGCGGGGCGGAGCCAAGGACGGGGAAAAGGGAGGACGTGAATTTTAAGCCTAGCCTGTGGCGCATGCCTGCAGTTACGCCCTTTGTCAGTAGGGGGAGCACTACTCCGTACCTGGGCCGGTGGTGTTTGCTCCAATAAACCCATGGGTTTTTCTTCTTGCTTTGAATTTACCTTCTGATCAAATAAATAATGAGCGTTCTTAACGTTAGCTTGGTTTTTTTGTTGTTGTTGTTTTAGTGCTGGGGATTGAACCTAGGCCCTCTGTACTGAGCTACATCCTCGGCCCATTTCTGAATTTTTGATTTTGAGGCAGGGTCTTCCTGAGTCGCTAGGTTTCCCAGGCTGGACTTGAACTTGTGGCCCTCCTGCCTCAGCCTCCCAGAGTGCCGGGATTACAAGCATGCTTGTGCGAGGCCGCAAGTTCACCCAAGTGAAAGCCAAGTTCACTGAGGTGGGGGGGTGGTGAGCTGGTAGCCATGTTGTCCCCATGATTCACTTCTTGGCTGACCCCACAAGGCGGCATCTTTGGGGAACCTGATATCTGAGTCCTTGGGCTCTTTCACAAAACCCATTGAGTCTCGGGCCTTTTTCTCCCACCGTGGAATCAGGTGTTTTAGGCGATAGGAAAGTTAAAGCTGTCTCAGGGCCACTTTCCGGCTAGGCGGTCAGGCCACTGACCCCATGGTTTGCTTCTCTCCCTCCCCAGGGCTTTTTCCTACCTGTCCCACACCATCCCCGATTTCACAGACAACTGCCTGATCAACATCATGAGGTGCGGGGAAGACTTCTATGCGACCACAGAGACCAACTACATGAGGAGAATTGACCCGCAGACGCTGGAGACCCTGGAGAAGGTACCCTGAAGCTACAGGCCCCTGGGGACGACTGTCCCCAGGGCCACTATCTGGGCTGCCCCAACAGCGCGGGGTCTTAAATTCTAAGCCCCGTGTGGGCAGGGCTGTGTCGTTTCCATCCTCGTGCTGTCCTGGCTTTCTGTGGTTGTTGACACCAAGTGCAATAGTGTACCACGTAACCCCATTGGCTAAACACCCAGATCTATCACCGGGTCCCTGAATCACTGCCTAGGGACTCTGGAGCCGTCCCAGTTTGTGCCAGTGCATTCTAGGATTCTCACCCACAGTGACATCTCCCGGTGGGGCCTTGCTCAGAAAGTGTCCCCACTGCTGATAGATGTGTGACTGCCACTCACTAGATGGCTTAACACATTTGTTCTCTAGCCAAGTGTGGTGGCTCAGCACTCTGGGAGGCTGAGGTGGGAGGATCACAAATTTGAGCCCAGGCTAGGCAGCTTAGCAAGACTCTGTCTCAAAATAAAAAATAAAAAAGGACTGAGATATATCGAAGTGCAGAGACCCTAGGTTCAATCCCTGGGCTGGGGAAAAAAAAATTTATTTTTACTCTTTCACCTTTTTAGAGGCCAGAATCTCACATCAAGGTGTTGGCAGGGCCAGGCTTTCGTCGAGGCACTAGGGGAGCTCCTTCCTGTATCATTCAGCTCCTAGTGGTGGCCACAACCCTTGGTGTCCCCACCTGGTGACACTGCTCCAACCTCTGCCCCTTCAGCATGTGTTTCTCCTCATAGGCCCTTGCGTTTATATTTTCCCACCTTTCATGACTCCCCAGATCACTGCACTGGAACCACCCTAGCGCAGTGTAACCTCATCTCTACTTACGTCTGCCTGGGGTTAGGACTTCAATATGTCCTTTCTGGCAGGCACAGTTCAACTCCTAACCATGTCTGTGGTGCTTGGTGCCGAGGGAGCTCAGTAGGGTTGGATCCCAGCAGGCCTTCCTGTATCCATCTGTGGAGAGAGGCCTTAGGCAGACAGCAAGGACAAAAAATAAATGTCCTAGCTGGTGCCTTTCCAGGGCAGAGTCAGGTCAACACTTTTTTAAAAATTTTTTTTCTTTTTATTGAGTTTATTGGTACAATCTAGGTATACAATACAGTTACATTCATGATTGGGATCCTGTACTTTACATGGTAGGTCTTGATTCTCATTTTTTCCCCTTGTCCCTGCCCTCCCTTCACCCTCTCCTCCCCTCCCCATTTACAAACACTTTATTTCCATTTTTCAATTTCTCATATTTTTTCCCTCTCCCTTATTACCTTTCCCCCACCCTTCCCACTTTCCCTACACCTTTAGCCCTTTACTTCCTATTTCACATTATTAATTGTCTCATTAGGATCCTGTGTACTATTGTAGTTTTTCACACCAGAGAAACTATTCAGTATTTCAGTTAAAGAAATCTCTGTGTGAACATTAAAAATAGGGAATCCTAAAATAAAACTAAAAAGGAAAGTAAAAGAGAAAAGGCAATGATGTGACATCAAAATAATCCTTAATTCTGGAGATGAAAATGGTCCCTTAATATATTTAAATTGTTTCTTGCTCTTGTAGTCTTATCTTATTCTTTTTTTTTTCATTATTTAGAGAATACTTTATTAGTTTCTGTAATCAAACCCACGTATGTAAGGTCAACACTTTTGTGCGAATCAATAGATCTAATTTCGGTTTCCTCCAACTGCCTGCTCAGAACCCCAGTGCCTTCACAAGGCATCTTAATGATCTGCTAAAGATGTGCTTTTCTTAGCGGAGAAATTGTATCCAGCTCCCTCTCGGCCAAATGGCACGGGCCCATCCAGTGTGTGCTTTCCACAGAAGAAGAGGCCAGACCTGACTGGTGCTCTCCTGGTCACGGATAAAGAGTGGACAGCTGGCCTCTGGTCACCCCGTTACTCAGCTTGTTAGTGGAGATTCACTTGGACTAAATGTCTTGGTGACTTCTCTTCCCAGAGTGATACTCTGGGACAGGCCTGGAGATCTGTGCTTCTGTGGAATACACAAGGGCTGGCTCTAAATGACGGAACCAAGCTGTGGCCAGGGCTAGCTGGAAGGCTACAAGCTGTCTCCCTGGGTCACTGCTGGGAGCCTGCAGTGAGGAGGGCAGGGTCAGGCTGCAGAATGAGAGTCATAGCCACCAGAAACACAGCAGCACACTCCCTCCCCGGAGACCCTCCAGACGCGAGGCTCGAGCGGGGGAAAGGGAACGCGCTCTTTAAATGCAAACTCTCACTTTCCCACCAGGAGATGTGGAGAAGTAGCCATCATCTCTCGACCTAGAGTCAGCCAGGTCTTCGTGGGACTTTGTCTGTCCCCTTTGTAAAACCAGGTGGCTGCTGTATTTTGCAGGTGGATTACCGGAAATATGTGGCCATAAATCTGGCAACAGCACATCCCCATTATGATGGGGCTGGAAATGTTCTCAACATGGGCACCTCCATTGTGGACAAGGGGAGGACAAAATACGTGATATTTAAGATCCCTGCCGCAGTGCCAGGTACGTCATCCTCCAGAGTCCAAGGAGGCAGGCAGCCAGGGTGGCTCCTGCGGAGCGGCTCTGGTTTTGGCCGATGACACGGCCTTTAGCATGATGCTTTTCCCCACTGCGCGTCCATTCAGGTGGCCGTAAACTCAGTTTTTTTCTCTAGGAGAAAAGAGAAGCTTCTGCGATTCTATTTGAATGAAGACAATCTCTTCTTCATTTTAACCACCTTTTCTTTAGGCTGCATGTCAGTAATTCATTATCTCCCACCCATCCACCCATATACCCACCCATACACCTACTCATCCATCCATCCGTCCGTCCGTCCGTCCATCCATCCATCCACCACCCATCCCTATAGCTATTCATTCACTTATCCATCTCTAACCTTTTTTCTGGGCTCCAGCTCACTACTTCATTCATTTACCCACTTTCCACCCATTTTTCAAGTCTTCTGCAAACCTTTGCATTGCCAGCCCACTGCCACCCACTTTACCCGAGCCCCACAGCCAGGCTCCTGGGGTTACGGAGGGGGTTCGGCCCTGCTGGGCTCTGCTCCAGATCCCCACCCCGTTTTCCTGGCCTTCTGAAACTTCTCCACCTAGGGCTGGATCCTGGAGCAAAGCCCAGGCTGAGAGATTGCATGTTTCTGAGGGGGATGAGGGCGAGGCTTCCAGCCCACGTTTGTTCAGGACCCTCCTGGGAACCACACCCAGGAGACCTGGCCTAGGAAGGCAGCTGCCCAGGACGCGGAGGTGCTTGACTTGACCTTCTGGTTTAGGGAAACCAGTTTCCATCTGTGAGCCTGCTGGTCCCTCCACCCCACAATCCTGTAGAAGCTTCTGAGCAGACTGCCAGGCTGAGCTGGGGCTGCAGTCCCCTGGGTCAGAAGGAACGTGAGCACTCTTGTTAAAATGAAACTCCCATTGATTAGGCGGCCGAGCCCGGAAGCCTAGATTGCCAGACTGGGGGTCCTCTAGGCACCTGGGTTTGCCTCCCTCAAGTTGCAGCAGACTGAGGCTGAGGCTCGGGGGTCAGGTGGAGTGCCTGCGGCCACACGGCGTCCGGGTGCGCCAGCGTCACCCAAGCAGCCACCCTCTGGGTCCTGCTCAGAGCTGGGGCTCCTGGGCCGTATTCCCCATCTCGTGCCCCCCAGGCCAGGGTGCTGTTCATCTCCCTTGGCACTGTGCTCTGCTTGTGAAGAGAGAACTAGCCCACGACACAGCATCCCTCCCACCCGCCAGCTGCCTGCACTGTGCACAGGTGGCACACAGGTGGGGACCTCTGCAGGGAGCTCATTAAGAACCGGCCCCAGGCCTGGGCGGAGAGGCCTTTGGCCAGGCGTGACTCATCCTTGCAGAGAAATGGGAAAGCCACCCGTGTAGGGATCGTCCCTGGTGCCAGGCACCAGCTGGGGTGCTTAGACGGCTGTTAGGGCGGGGGGCCAGGCCTTTACACCCCGCTACTGTGGCGTTTCATCCTCTTCTCTGCCTGCACGCTCAGAGTTGTGTCTCTCGATAGCAGACCAGGAGCCCAAGGTGAGTTTTCTGGGCTTGACCCTGGACCTTGACCACGGTGGGAGAACTTCCACCACGTCTCGGTTTCCATCTGTAAAAGGGGCGTCCTGCAGCCTGGCTCGGTGGCCACGAGAGACAAGGGCTCAGAATACATGGTGAAAGTTTAAATTTAAAAGTTTTAAAAATAAAAGGCACTTTGCCCCTTCTGTTGGCTGGGACACATCCCATCGTCACACTGCCATGCTCTGCAAGTCCTCCTGCATGCGTGCGCTACAGAGTGTGAGCAGAGTCACAGCAACTGCCGCTGCCAAGGGCCAAGAGCTCGTGAAAACACAAAGGGCGACCTCATGCACTTTATTCACTGGACCCGGCACCATCTGACTGACCTCTGGCACCTTCCCCAAAAGTCAAAACGACCATGAAAGCTAAACGCTTTGAAAACATTCCGACATCAAGGCAGCCACGACAGTGCTGCTAAAGACACGCATGAAAGAGAACTTCAGAGCCGCTGCAGAACATCGGAGGTGTGATGGGATATGAGTGTTTGGAGTGTGTGCGTGAGGGGTATTTTGAGGGAGTTTAATGGTAATGTGTCTTATTGCAACAAATTTCTTTTTTTAAATGTAACGTTCACTTTCTTTTTCAATTGCACCACATATGTGAAAGCCCCTTGTCCCAGTAGGCAGTCAGTCCCTCCTGGATATTTTGGAACAGCCAGTGCCGGGACACATTTGTAGATAAACCTGGGAACTGCATGCTGAATGGTGGTTCCCAGAAAAATACCAGGGGAAACCCACCCAGCCCTGTGCAGCTGCATGGAAACGCAGCCTCCCGGGCTCCGCCCCAGCACACCCAGCTCAACTCCACATTTTGTCACCACCACGCCTGCACTATGACGTTTGAGAAGCGCTCATCTGGAGCAGGGGCTGGTGCACATTTTCTATAAAAGGGCTAGATGGTGAATGGCTTTGAGGACCACATGGCTATCGCCAGACCTCACCTGGGCCACTGCAGACCAGAGCAAAGGCAGCCATGGAGGCTGCATGAGTGAGGGGAGGCCTAGTTCCGGGTAGGACTTTATCGACAGAAGCGGGTGGAGGCCTCATTCCACCCCAGGCTGCTCTGAGACCCCTGGCCTGCTTCCTACCGGAGTTCACACCGGAGAACTTGGCTAAGCATGGGTAACCCAGGCAGGAAGCTCTGGGCCTTGTCTGCCTACCACCAGCTCCTACCCAAAGGTTCTTAGCCACACGGTGGGCCGGTAGGTGATGACAGTGGCCTTGGCGCCTCCAGTCCCTGCGTGATTCTGAGTCTCTCTTTCCTCCAGAGGCCAAGAGGAAGGGGAAGAGTCCCCTGAAGCACACAGAGGTGTTCTGCTCCATCCCCTCCCGCTCGCTCCTCTCCCCCAGCTACTACCACAGTTTCGGGGTCACCGAGAACTACGTGGTGTTTCTGGAGCAGCCGTTCCGGTTGGACATTCTCAAGATGGCGACCGCGTACATGCGGGGAGTGAGCTGGGCGTCCTGCATGGCTTTCCACAGGGAGGACAAGGTAAGGCTGCCTGGGATACCAGCCCTGCCACAGGAGCAGCGAGACAGGGAGGTCTGCTTCGGGAAGGAAGCTGCATGGGAGGAGAGAGTGTGAAGTACCAAGTCTCTCTGGAGGTAGCCGCCGACCTTCCAGAGAGTTCTAAAGCTTTAGCGTCCTTTAGAGAGCTCCCAGGTTAAGACAAGGAGCCCAGGCCTTTAGGCCTCTGCTTCAACAAGTCATTGGCTACAGACTTCACTGGGAACAGGGTGTGACCTCGGGCAGCTAAGTTCCCCAGCGTCCACAGGCCCAGCAGCGTCTCTGCTACCACAGTGTCATGTGGGCGTCACTGGGAGCTGGGGGTGACTGAAACTCGGGGTAGAGCTGCACGGGATGGTTCGGTAGAAACAGCTATTTTGGTTCAGGTCCACCCAAGGGTGCCAAGTGTGCATATGTATGTGAGTGTGTATGTGTGGGTGGGTGGATATATTATGTGTACGGGGATCAAAGTGCAATTGAAGATTATTGTGGATGCTTTAAATTTAAAAACTTTTTATTACAAATAAAAGAAAACCACATTGCCCTTAACCTCTTCAAAATCCTCCCTCAATTCAAACACACTCATCCCGTCTTCCTTGTCTCTCTCCGAAGCAGTTCTGTGAATCCTCTTTTGTCAGTGTTTCCACTTGTGCTGTCACAGCTGCCCCGACGTCTGAATCCATCCAAAACACTGACCTTCCATGGTCATTTTGACTGTGGGGAAGAGGCAGCCCCAGATCCAGAGTCTAAGGTGGCCCGGGACGGCCCGGCGTGTTTTCATGAGGCCGGCTTTCCATTGGGCGGCACTCGGGGACAGCATTCACCGTATTCTTGGTCACACCTTGTAAAGACACTCACAAAAGAGAACGTCCAGAACTGCTTCAGAAAGTGACACGGTCGTGGATCAGTGTACACACAGGGAGGAGCAAAGTGAAGGGCTCTGAGGGGATTAATGGCAGATTGTCTTACTGTGACAAATTTAAAAATGTAAATATTTGCTGTACGTTTTGACCATAACATAGACGTATTCACTGTTTACGTGTTGCCGTTCCCTTACCTTTGGAAAACAGCAAGTAATTCTCAGTGGTACCTATTCAAATAATACCCAAGTGCAGAGAGCCACATATAAAGTCACCTGTTCCCTGCCCCGCAGGGCATCTGTCCAAGCCCTTCCTGAGCACTGGCACACTGGCCAGCCTCATTAAGGCCTTTCCTGTGCCTTCCCAGAGAGTGGGAGCATCGGATGAGGACCCTCCCTGCTCAGAGCCTTCCCGTCTTCCTCGAAGCAAGATCTGCAGGCCTTGTTCACATCCACCTGGATTGAACCAGCCGACATGTCCTGCCTCAGGGCCTTTGCATTTTCTGAAGTGCTCTCTAAAACAGGACCCCACCCATATTGCACCTCCTTTCTCAGGCACGTCCAGCACCCTAACACACTGCAGGTACTTCTTGTGGGCTTGGCCCCCACAAGTGCATACGCTCAGGGAAAGCAGGGCTTGGCATTACCGTCCATCACCCGACCGCGGCAGGCCCTCCATGAATATGTGGGCGGGCGGGGCAGGACAGGGGCAGCTGTGCCAGCTGCCCCTGACCTACGTCATCTCCAGGATGAACTCGGCCTCCCTCTGGCGGGAGTTTGGGAGCCTCAGGCCTCTCATCTGTGCCCCTGGAGAGTCCCTGACCCCCAGAGAAACCCCGATGGAGACCAGTGACAGCGGAAGTGGCAGGGTGACAGCCCTGGGGAGGCTCTAGGACGCGTCTGGAAGAGGACTTTGCTCTGAGCCCCCATGGCTGGGCCAGGGACAGGGGTTACGGGGAAGAAAATCACCCCCTCCTCCCGGCCCAGCTGAGCCGGTGCCGTCGAGGCATGGGTGCCCAACACGCTGCTGGGTTCCAGGGATGCAGGAGCCACTGGACCGGAGGAGTGAGGCTCCCCGCTCCCTGGAGGAGGTGGCTGGGTGTGAGCTGACCACCCCTTCGGATTGGGCACCGGGGTGCAGATATGACTCACTACCACCCAGAGTGACACCGGCTGGTACTCCCAGAGGGACACCCCTGGAGACCTCCGGAGCTCACATGCTGCCTGGCCAGCACTGGGGTCACCCCAGGGCCACCTGCTAGGACAAGTGGGGTTATGTGACAAGAGCAGAGGCCAGCTCGACCATACAGTGGGGATGGGAATGGGGACCAGAGGGCAGGGGTTTAGGGGCTCTGGTCTCCAGTGGAGACTGGCCCTTGGTGGGCCCTCCCCACCTTGGCCATTACCGGAAGTTTGCATGTCACTGCCCACCCACCTACGTCACAGTCAGTGGGACATCAGAAAGGATCCCCTCATGGGCCCCTCAAGGTCCTGGCAGCAAAACTTCTGTCCATGCATCTTTTTTTGTTTTGCTTATGTGCTTTGGTTTTTTTGAGACAGGGTCTCACTATGTAGTTCAGGCTGGCCTCAGACTTACAGTGATCCTCCTGCCTCAGCCTCCAGAGTCCTGGGATTATAGGCGTGCGCCACCACACCAGGCTATAAGATCATAAGAAACCAAGCCCTTTGCCTGTCCTGCCCTTTTGAGGGGACATGGTCACAAGCTAGTGTCCCCAGATACCACGGCACGAGACAGAGGGAGTGTGACCGCCCAGGGCGTCTCCTCTTTCAGACTCACATCCACATCATCGACCAGAGGACCCGAAAGCCGGTGCACACCAGGTTGTACACGGACGCCATGGTGGTGTTTCATCACGTCAATGCCTACGAGGAGGGCGGCTGCGTTGTGTTCGATGTCATCGCCTACGCAGACAGCAGCCTCTACGACCTCTTCTACCTGGCCAACCTGAACCAGGACTTCGAGGAGAACTGCAGGCTCACGTCGGTGCCCACCCTGCGGAGGTTTGCGGTGCCGCTCCACGTGGACGAGGTAAGGGCCTCAGAGTGGCCGGCTCTTCCCAGCGGGACCCGAGCCAGGGCAGGAAGCAGTTTCAATGCTTACTTGGTTGACGCTGAAATCCAAAAGGAACTGGTCTTAAAGAAAGATTAAAAAAAAAAAATCTTTCCATGTTTTTCCAAACATAGTCTGTTTTCGTGCAGAAACTTTAGAAAGTGTAGGTGAGCTGAGCGGCCATGGTGATACATGTAATCCCAGCACCAGCACTCGGGAGGCTGAGGCAGGAGGATCACTGCAGGTCTGAGCCAGCCAGGGCTACATAGCGAGAACTACATAGCGAGATCCTGTCTCAAAAATTTTTTTAGATTTAGCTATAGGTAAATAAAAGGAAAATTACCTCCATAACCCCACGAGAATCATTGTGGAGATGTTTGCATTGCCCTCTCTGTCTGTCTGAATTTTAATCATGTACAATTTTAGCAGCTTTACCGAGGCACAGTTTACACACCACACGGTTCTCCTATCAGTCTTTGATTCAGTGGCTTTTGATAGTCCCTGAGTTGTGTGTCCACTACCATGATACATTTCAGACATTCCCGTCACCCCAAGAAGAAGCCCCAGGCCCTTTAGCGCTCCTCCCAGGAGGCCACACACACACACACACACACACACACACACCCGCCCCAGGCCACCGCCAGTTGTGGCTCTGCGGTGTCAGCGGAACCCTGCCCAGCAGCCTCTGTGGCCGGAGTCTTGCGCTCAGCAGTTTTTCTAAGTTTTGCATACTGCTTTTTTCACCTGCTTGTGTATAGAAGCATCTCCCCGGGGCCTTAAATATTCTCTGACGGCATCATTTAAAACGTGTGCCGAATAGTCTCTGGCAGGGACTCGGCACTATCTGCTCGCCCGGTTCCCGGATGTGGAGCAGTTCTGCTCCTCTGCTAACCCTGAGCACTGGGCCGGCTGTCGCCCTTAATTAGGTGACGCCGTCATGGCTCTGGGCACAAAGAGGCAAGAGAGAGGCTTCTGGCTCCGGAACGCACTGACTTCATGGCTTAATGAACTTAAATGAAAGCAAATTCAATTCAATTACATTGTGATGGTTCACATTTACTAACTGCACACTGAGTGCCAGGTGCTTCGCCAGAGCATTTGATCTCCCCGACATCACTTGGTCAGAACACCCTGTAGGGGAGCCGTCCCCATGTTAGCCTCATTCCCGGGTGCAAGACCGAGGCTCCGAGAGGTGCAGGAAGGCGCTTGGGGTCACGCAGCCCAGCCACCTCCAAACATACAAGCATCCACCAGGGCAGGAATTCCTTCTCCGCGTGAGCCCTTCCAGGCTCTGCAGCCTAGGACTGAGCTCGCTCCCCAGGGAGATTTCCCACCCCCACCGTCCAGCTGGGCAGGGCAGGAGCTGAGCAGGTTTCCTGACTGGTGAGCAGGGAGCCAGGATTTGAACCCAGGTTTGTCCGTTCCAGAGCGTGGCCCTCTCCTGTCTCTGCAGCGCACCACCCCCAGCACGTATCTCCGCCGTGGTTTTTACCGTGCCTCCTATTGCCTCGATTCTGGAGTGTTTTAACCAACTCACACTTGACTCGTGTGACAGGAAACACAGCAAAGTGAGCAATGCTCGCTGCAAAGAGAAAACCAACGTACAGGCGAGACAACCAGAGTCACCCAAGTCTGGCTCGCCAAGGCCTGGCCTCTCAGGAAGAGCGTTTTAGGGGCCAGCAGGCAGCTCAGTGGTAGAATGCTCACCCCGCATGGGCGAGGCCCTGGCTTCCACTCCCATTTACAGAAGACAGAAAGCTTTCCAAAGTGTTTGGCATTGATTACACTGTGGCACCTCGCTGAGACTCTGTGCCCGACCCAGCCACGTGACTGGGGAGAGCCAATGGGAAACCCTGCAGAGCAGCGCCAGCCGCTGCCTCTCGGGCTGGGAAGGACAAAGGTGGTCACTAAACATGGGCGGATCCCAGGCCGACCTCATCCCAGGGAGGGTAGGCGGAGAGGAGAGCCCTCCCTCCTGCTGTCCGCGCACCGCAGATTTTATAACCTTTTATCACGCCTGGGAAGTGGTTGGCCTTCCCGGCACCAGGCTTAGAAGGTGAGCATGAATATTGTTAAAAGCCGCTGTACACAGCCATCTGCTGCTTTGAAATTAGCAGAGAAGAGCAAGCCCTGGGATGGGTTGCTCCGGCCACGCTGTTTAATTGCTATTTATTGTCCCTTTAAAATGTCTTCTTTACTTTCAAGTCCCTTGGCGGCCTGCATAGGGAAGTGTGAAAGTCAAGCAGGAGGGCAATGCATACAGGCCGCCTGCCTGCCTGGCTCAGTGCAGTCCAAGGTGACCTTGGAAGGTGCAGTCCTTTCCCAGAGGTCCTTCTGGTCTGGGACCTTTATGCATAGCTGTCCCCACTGCCTGCCACGCTGACCTGTCGCATCCTCCCTCCTGCCGCACATTGGAATCACCTGCAGGCGTGGCCAGACCACCAGCCCCTGCCCATCCAGGGGCCGCAGAACCACTAAGGGGAGTTGGGTGTGGCGGTGCACGCCTGGCATCCCAGCACTTGGGAGGCTGAGGCAGGAGGATTGCCTCAAGCTTGAGGCCAGCCTGAACTACACAGCAAGATCCTATTTCAGAAAAACAACAACAAAGGGAGGCTTGGCCCCCAGGCGAGTCTGTGTGGCCAGGGCCTCCCATGTTCTTTCCCCATGAGGTCCAGAGTCCTTGCTCCCCTTGGGGGCGCTCTGTAGCGTGGACACTTGGATACAAATCCCACAGGAGCAAATGTGCTCAGTCCCTTCCTGCTAGCACACAGACCCCAAGAGGACGGGGAGCAGGTCAGCAGGAGCTCAGAGGGTGCTCGTGAAGCTCTTAGCTACCGGGAATGAGTGAGTGGGTGACGGGTGAACTGTGACGCAGGATCTCTGAGAGCACAGGGTCTTCCTCGGCCCTCCGCGCGTGGCCCAGCTGAACAGTGCTCTCCCAGTCAGACTCACAACAGGATCGACACAGAGGCCAGGACGCCCTGGCCAGCCCGGCTGGGGCCAGCTCGGGGCCGAGGAGGGTGGGGCACAGGCCTACGGCACCCCAGCCCCGGTATGTAGGGCAGCGGAGTGTAGGGCAAGGCCCGGCGGGGAGGAGGAGCACGGGGACGCTCAGGAGCGGTCGGGACAGCGCGGCTCCTCAGGCGGGTTCTGTGTTGTCAGCCCCGCCAACTGCCAAGGGCAGGGGAGGGGGCGCCGCGGACCTAGAAGCCGCGGCTTCCACCCGGGCTCAGGAGATTGGGGATCTGTCGTCTGCAAAGGCAGAAGCCAAGGCCCGACAGAGCAAGAGGAGCCGCTGTCTGTGCAGTGCACTGCGTGTGGCCCTCGTGAAAGGCCGGTGTGTGTCCTCCGGGGAGCCTCGCAGGGCCCCGGGTCGTGCCCACCCCTCCACACCCCGAAGCCTGCCTCTGTTCCCAAAGAGCAGACTGTGCCCTGGGCAACTTAGTGAGACCCTGACTCAAAGCTTAAAAATGGAAAGGGCTGGGGATGCAGCTGAGTGTGAAGGCCCCGGGCTCAGCATCCAGGAGCACGAAAACGGTGAACTGTAACAGTCCCGGGTGGCCGGCGGTGCCACAGCATTAGGAAGGCCGATGTGTCCAGGGAGCGGGGAGAAGGGCAGTGCCTCCGTGTGTCCTCCTGCCCGGGTCCTGCACCTTTTAGGAGTTGTTAAGTGCTTTGCTAATTCACGTCATGACCTTCCGAGTTATTTCTACCCCATACCTGCAGATGAGAGAGAAAGGAACTCGGGATTCCGAAGCGTGCTGTTTCCAAGTTCCTTCCTAACTACAGTGTGGCCGGCCCCGATCCAGGGCTTTTTCACGACTGTAATTTAACTTAGTCCTAATCCTAACCCTCAGATAGGTCCAAGTTTCTCCCAGGTGGGGCTCCAGGTTACCCAGGACGTTGTGCAGTCAGATGTCACCCTGCCGCCGGGATGTGGGGGATGGGCCTGAGGTGGGGCTCCCCGGAGATCCTGCAGAGGCGGGGCCTCAGAGCAAGCCTGTGGGATTCTGTTTGTTGAAATGCGATTGGGAAGCGATTTCTTCCCAACTCTGAGCTGAAAGCAGTTACTGCTGTGTGTGTGGAAAAATTCAGTTTGTCCCTCGACCAGTCGGACCAGTTTCGGGCTGGAGTTCGGAGAGCGACTCCCTGAGAGTCAGGGCTTAGACCCGCCCAGCGGCCTGTCTCTGTCACGTGCCTGGCCTGCCAGCCACAAGCCACGTGGCGGGCGGACACTGCATTGGGTTTCTGCTATCAGACGCTGCAGGCGTGCGGGGCGCCCGGCTCCTCCATGGTTCACCCTCCCTTCTCACTTCATTCTCACAGTGGGTCCGGCCCATCAAGCGTGACGCTTGCCCCTTGGCGGTCAAAGGAGGCCCCCTGAGTTATACATTCACTCACTGCGCAGCAGTCACTTCCTGGGCACTGACCATGTGCTGCGCAGTGAACAAAATCCAGTCTCTGCCTTCATGGAGAAGACGAGCACGACAGAAGGAAAAACTCTGTAAAGGAGATGATTACAGCTTGGGACAAATGCCCCAGAAATACTGCAGATTCAGATTGAGTTGAAGAGATGGCAATGTTTGAGGGGAGACCCACGGCATGGGTATGGGTCGGCCTCAGGGCCTTTGCACTGCTTTGCCCTCTCCCCACAGTGCTCTTAGGGACAGAAGAATCCCAGCACAAAGTCCAGGACAGAGGCTCTGTTTCTCTCTGGTGACTTTGGACTAGTTGCTTTTCTTCTCTGGGCCTGTTTCCTCTGCTATAAATTGAAAGATTAAACTATACAAATGTCTGAGAACCCTTACAGTTCAACCACCAGGAAGCAGTAAACTTTCCCTCCTTCTTGGCCAAAAAATTTGCTACCATTAAAATAGGTCGCTTTTAATCATAGCAGCCATTTTGGAAAATTTGATATACAGAGAGGGATTTAAATGCGAAGTCAGCGATAACAAAGATCCATGGTCTTATTGCCTGGTGTCCTCTGGTGCCCTCACCAGGAGTGGCAGCAGTATAATAATAGGAATTACCATGATGATGATAATAAGAATAAACATACAGGAGCACCCCCCTCACTTACAGTCTTGTTTTCCACAGTTCAGTTACCTATAATCAACTGTGATCAAAAATACTAAACGAAAAACACCAACATGGACAATGTGTAAGTTTCACATTGCATACCGTTCTGAGTAGCAGGATGAAATTTCAAGCTGTCCTGCTTTGTCCTTACCGGGATGTGTCTAGTGTATATCCAGGCTGTATACACTACCTGTCCGTTAGTCATCCGGGAGCCAGTCCACTTGTCAGGTGGACTATGGCCATATCAAGTGCATCTACATGAGGCTCAGTATGATCTGCAGCTCGGGAATCCACTGAAGGTATCCCCTGAGGATAAAGGGAGACGACAAATGTATAAGAACAAAGATGTCATCATCAACCAAAGCAGCTCCCTTTATCCAGCACTTCCTGTGGTCGGCAAGAGACTCTTATAAACCATCTGTGAGGATGATCTCATTTAACCTTCACAATAACTCCAAGGTGCATATACTATTATTATCCTCACTGTACACATGAAAGACCTCAACGACGGCAAGGCTAACTTGCTCGAGTCCCACAGTTCATATGTGGGGAAACACAGACTAGTAGTTGCTCAATAAACACTGGCTCCTGCTAAATCCTTCTCCTGCATCATAACGAAGACAGTCAGGTACCGTGCAGAACACAGTCGAATTGAGACCAAGGGTTGCCCTTGAAAGCTGTTTTTCTCTCCAGTAATGTTCATCACATGTTTGCATTTCAGCAGTGACACATTTTTCGCAAGAGAAAATACTGGAGGTGCAGAAAAGGACACACAAGTCCTTCTGGTCCTGTGCTGTTGTTAAGAGGCGGTGTATCTCCCCCTGGCTTTTCGATATGATTTTGTGTATGTGGTTCAGCTCAGGCTGCACATATCATGTATTCTGATGCTTTTACTTGATGTGGTTGGCAAGCACATGTGTCACTGTAAACTCTTTGTAAAACACCCTTTTAATGACTGATGCAGCCTTTTACAGGTGAATCAGCCAGTAGTTTTAAAAGTGAGAACCTGCCTTCTAAGTGCCTTCATTTTTCCTGGGAATGATGCAGGAGCCCAGAGCAAGAGAAAAGCCCCGGGTTCAGGAGTCCAGGTTCTGCCACCCAACAGCCAGGCGACCTTGGGGAGTCACTTTCAATTGCTAGTCTTCATTAAAAAAAAAAACAAGAACAGCAATACAATATCTGCTTCTCCTACTTAATGTGAGGCCGGGCCAGGTGATGTATGCTGAACAGCTCAATAGACGGTGTGCTCTCAAAGCATTTTTTTTTTAACATAGACAAAGTGAAGCAAAGATCTGCTTGCAGTGACATGTTCCTTTTTTTTTTTTTTCTTTTCCTCCACTGATTCTTTCCAGAATGCAGAAGTGGGCTCAAACCTGATCAAAGTGTCATCTACAACAGCAACTGCCCTGAAGGAAGGGGACGGCCAAGTGTACTGCCAGCCCGAATTGCTGTTTGAAGGTACCCTCCATCTCTCTCCCTGCATCTAGGCAAGGAGGTTTTAATACTGACTCCAGAGGCGTCTTTCCAGAATATCTCCCTGCACTGCACAGGCGAGGCTGTGGGGACTCCCGCAGAAGAGCATCTGGGGACCTTTCGCTTTCAGATAGCTTCCAGCGCCTCTGCTCCTTGGACCAGATGCGGTGTGCAAAGGGCTGGGCCTTATGAGCAGGCACAAAGTGTTCCTAGTTCTGTCTCTACCCGGCCCAGTGTTTTAGACCCATTTTCTGGAGGGACACACTGGCCCGAGAGAGGTCGAGCCACACGCACGGCACGCACTTGGGACTTCTCAACCTGGGCTGGCATCTGGGGCCAGAGTTCTTGGTGGCCACCGTGGCACCCTCAGCAACATCCTTGGCTGCCATCCACTCGAGGCCACAAGCATCCCCACCTGAAATGGAACAAGCCGGCACGGCAGCCAGCAGAGCAGGGCTCTGGGTTTAAGTCCACACGTGGGTCGAACCCTGACCCTGCACGCACGAGACCCTGCATTTGATCTCTGTACAGCTAAAGACCAACATATTTCTCCATTGCATTTGGGCCTCTGGATGCCAGTAGTTCAAGGCCAGCTTGACAACGTAGTGAGACCCCCATGGGCAAAAAAGAACAACAACCCTCCAGACCTGGTGCAGGGTGCAGCCCCCTAATCGCAGCCCTCTAGGAGGCTGAGGCAGGACTACACATTTCACTACGGCCTAGGTAATTCAGCGATTTAGTGAAACCCTGTTTCAAAATAAATAAAAGTCAGGCTGGGGATGTAGCTCAGTGCAAAGGCCTCGATTCAACCCTCAGTACCACAAAAACAACAGAAAAAGAAAAATGCACCCCTGGCCCCTCCCACGGAGGGTCTCGGCAGCCACGCGCCCTGCGCTTGTTCCTCAGTGTTGAGGGCACTTCTGGGGACTCCCTTGGATGCCCTGAGCTTGTGATTTCATCCTTTGTAAACATGAGTTTTACATATTCTTAAAACAGGAAAAACGAGCTTTATTTATATTCCCCATTGACGCTCTTTGCTGTGCTTTCCGAAGCTGCTCTTCTCACCTTTTACAGACTTTTAAAAAATTGCAGTAGCCTCTGATTTTAATTGAACAGCTCTCGGATTCCTCTTTTGGGTCATGAAAGATGCTTATGCACTTAAACCCCGGGTCCCTGCTTCCTTGCTCCTGAACCTTGTAACAGAGCCAGGGCCGTTGTCAGAGCTCCCCTTGGCCTTTGCCCACCGCTGGCCGGGTCTGGGGTCTGAGTCAGGTCGGGATCTTGTTTGGGAACTGTCCCTGTGGGAGGCCAGCCTGGCGTGAGGCAGATGTTTCCAACCTTAGCGACAGGTCCTGGACCCGGCTCATTTCCCTCCAGGCTTGGAGCTCCCTCGGATCAATTACACTCACAACGGGAAGCCGTATCGCTATGTCTTTGCTGCTGGAGTTCAGTGGAGTCCGATCCCAACCAAGGTTCGGGGTCCCCGGGTGGCTGCAGTGATCTTACCTGTCTGCAGAGCTGAGGCTGCGGGCCTTGGGACTGGGTGACCTGGACAAGAACCGAGGGAGGGACATCGCCTTGGGAGGTGGCTGCAGGAGTGATGGCCATCCAAGACAGGGACCAGCACCTTAGGGACAGGAGTTTGGGGAGAGGTCACAGGTGGAGGGTAGATGTCCACTTCCTTATTCTGTATTTATTAAGCACCTACTATGTACTTCAGTGTGGTAGGCAGTGAGGATGCAGGGGTCAGCATGGGACCCCAGTTCCCACTTTTAAGGAACTCGCTGACCCTCTTGAGCCGAGAGGATGTAGCTGGAACTTGAAGGATTTTTGTTTTGTAAGCTGCTGTACAAAATGCTGTGCAGAAATCACTTTTCCTTAAGAACTTCATTCTTTAATAATTTAGCATTTTTTTTCCCTTTGGTGCTGGGGATCAAACTCAGGACCTTGCACTTTCCAGGCAGGCAGTGGAACCACTGAGCTAAATACCTGGCCTCATAATTTCACATTAAAAAAAAAAAAATGCAAACAATGCAGAAATGTACAAAGCCAAAAATTAAGGTTCCCACACTCATGAACACACAGACACACCCTGAGTCACTCCCCACTAATCCTATTCCCTAAGTGGGATAGGCCTGTGGGAATTTAGGAGAGGCCCAGGACTTTCTGTTTGTTTGTTTGTTTGTTTTGAAGTCCTAGGGATTGAACCCAGGGCCTTCACAGTGAGCTACGTCCCCAGCCCTTTTTTATTTTGAGACACAGTTCCCCTAAGTTGCCCAGACTGGGCTCAAACTTCTGATCCTCCTGCCTCAGCCTCCCAGAGTGCTAGGATTAAAGGCTTTGGTCCCTATGCCCAACTGGATTTCCACCTTTAAAACTACAAAGAAAATTGTATTATTTAACACATTAGTTTTTTTTAAACATATAAAGTTGCAATGCATGCCAAATACTAGACAAATTCAAGATTTTTCTGTGGCTTCACCGTGTGCTATTGGCTGCAGGATCGCCAGAGAGAGGCCCGGAGGTGTACAGGGGAGGAGAGAGTTCACAAGTGTCCAAAGTCTAGATTTGAGGACAGAACTGCCCCTCTGTCAGGCCTCTGTGCCTTCCTGCTCTCTCTCACACAGGCGTTTTCCTGTCCGCCTCCTTGGTCACACAGATACTGAAGTATGACATTCTCACTAAGTCATCCCTAACCTGGGGAGAGGAGAGCTGCTGGCCAGCAGAACCCCTGTTTGTGCCCACACCAGGCGCCAGGGACGAGGACGATGGTAAGACCCCAGAGGGGACGTGTGACCCCACCTGGATGTGTGGTGCGGGTGGGGGGGGGGCTCCTTTGAAGTCTGGTTTCATCTGACAACCACTGTTGCTCAAATTCACGGCCCTGGGCCCTGGCAGGTTGTGTGATTATCAGGGGCCACAGAAAGCTCACAGAAAGCCGTTATCTGCAGGGTGAGGGTTCACTGTAGTGAAAGGCTACAGGGTCCAGGGGAGACCTGCTGTCCTCTTCTGGGGGAGCCTTGGTCAGCGTTAATGTCGAGGACAGCCTCAGTGTCCAGGCTTGTCCCTGGGGCTCCACGGTGTGGACCTGGCTGAGCCCTGTGTGGCCGGCCTTTGGTCTTCAGCCCCTGAGGGTTAGGCCCCACCATAGACCACACTGTGAGGATAGACGGCCCGCCACAGCCTGGGGTCCCCTGGTAAACAAGGACACTCCATAGGGGCTGAGAGAGGACCCCCCCTAGGGACAAAGCTGGGCCTCTCTTCGGGCAAGATTAAATTCTTTACAGCAGGAAGCCCATGTCCCTTCCTGTGGATGTGGAATCTTGGCTTTAAGATTCCCCAGAGTGGCTGGAGCCAAGTGTCTAAGCGCCTCCCTCGGCTGCAGAGTGGCTTCGCACGTGGCCTAGCCTTCCTGGTCACTGTCACCTGGTGTGCGGAGGCAGGGACTCCTGCCGAAGCTGCTCCCCTACTCGGCTGGGAGCTGGCCTCCCCTGCACACAGCGGCCCCGGGGGGCGCTCAGAGAGGGAGACAGCGTGCAAGGCCACGCCCTGTGTGTGCAGGAGGTGTTCAGCCACCCGCAGAGGCTGAGAAAGGGCTCCCCCAGCGGAGGATGGCTCAGGCGCACTTTTACCAGACGGATCTCTCTTCAGGGCTGGGGTGCCCTTGGTAGAGGCGCTTGCCTGCCATGCGCAAAAGGTCCTGGATCCCATCCCGTGTTTCGAAAGAGAAAAGCGAAATGTTTCTGCTTGTTCCCCCCAAGGAGTTATCTTATCGGCCATTGTCTCTACCGACCCCCAAAAGCTGCCTTTCCTGCTGATTCTGGACGCTAGGAGCTTCTCGGAGCTGGCTCGCGCCTCTGTTGCCGTGGAGATGCCCTTGGACCTCCATGGGTTGTTTATCCCCGATGTGGACCAGGCCGCTTCCCAGACACAGCAGGCCCGGGCTTCGGGCTGCCAGGGTCCCCACAGGCCTGATGGGGCAGGTGGGCTCGGGCTCCCCCAGCGGGACGCTCGGGACTAAGCTTGTCACCCGTCCCCAGGTGACGGGTCCCCAGTTTCCTCCTCATCTGTCCTCTGCGGGTGCTGGGTAGGAGCATGGAAACAGCTCGTCCACACCTCTTCCTCCATTCTACTGTAGCCATAGAGCTGAGCGTGGTGGCCTGAACCTGTAACCTCATCACTCGAGAGGCTGAGGCAGGAGGACTGCTACAAGTTTGAGACCAGCCTGGGCTACATAGTGAGTTCAATTCCAGCCGTGACAATACAGCGAGAACCTATCTCAAAAAAACAAACCAAAACAAAATGCCACGTAAACCTTGTTGAAAAGTCAAATATGTATTGTTGAGCTCTCACACTTCTAAGAAAGCCTTTTTCCTTTATTTTAAAGACCTTGATTGTGAAACAGAAAGTGTATTCAATCACATATAGTCATTCTTGGTAGAAACAGCACAGGCATGCTGGAGAAAAGATGAACACCTACTTATCGTTGCTCCTCCTCCCTCTCCCCTCTCCCCTCTCTGGCCCTCCTTTCTGACAGACCCAGGCGTGGGTGCGGAGCTCCAGCTTCCTCTGCTGTGCCCTGTTAGTAAGCTGTGTGGCTGCTTTGTGGCCATTCCGTGCAAGACGTGGCGTAAAGTGAAAGAATAAAAACTTTACAGTCTGGTCAGACCTTATTTTATTTTTACATGGCTTCATCCTCTGAAGTTCTTCTAAGACAGTAAAACAGTGTTGCAGACCTTGACGTCTCCCCGCCAGCAAGATCACTGGACTGACAGACCGGTGCCCCAGGGAGAGTCCTCGCCTGCTCTCATCTGTGGGGCCTCATCTGTGCCTGAGGGGAGAGGAAACTGTCCAGACTGTTTGTGCCACCAGGACAGACCAGGCACTGGGCAGAACAGGAGACCTGTTCTGAGGGCTGCCAGCAAGGTGGCTATGGGGACGGACGGACGGACGGACGGAGGAAGCTGGCAACAAACCCACCCACTGGGCTTCCGCGTGATTGCTGGGTGCCCATGGCGTCTGGGTGTCACCTTCCCGGTCCTCGGGCGGTGCGGTGGGGGGTGGGGGTCGCACTAAATCCCCGCAGTCACAGTGGAAATTCAGTAACGCGTCTCCAGGATGGCATAAATCTCCAGCGGTGGTGAATAAGATACCACAGAGTGCAGACGTGCCCAGGGTGGCCTTGGCTTTTGCCCACAACCACCATGAAGCCATACTGGGCTTCCGCTGCAGTGTAGGATCCACTAGGCCAGAGAGTTGTTTGTTTTCTACTTGAAATTCTCTTTAAGATCATTGCACACGCGTGTACAGGTCCAAGAACTCTAGGGAGATCCCAAGGCACCTTTCCAGTCTTCCCTAGGGCTAACATTTTGCAAAACCATAGAGTACGATATCACAGCCGGGATGTTGACATTGACCCCACCCACCCACTAGCCTAATTCAGATTTTCCCAGTTTTACTTGTTCTCTTTTGTGCATGCAAGACAAAAAAAATTTTTTTTTTCTTAACTCACAGAAAATTTTTGGAATGTATAAAATTGGTAGGTTCCAGTATTCACCACCACAGTTCATCAGCCCTGGGGTCCCTCGAGTTGCTTTCTAATCATTACACCCACCTTTCTCTAACTCCCTAACCCATTCTCGCCATCATAATGCCAATTGTCATTTTAGAAATGTTACATCAGTGGAATGACAGCAACCTTCTGGGATTGGCTTTCCTGGCACAGCCAGGTTCATTAGAGATTGACCCAGCTGGTGTATTTGTCCAAGTTGTGTATTGGGGTTGTTTTATTCACTGCTTAATCCTCGGCACTGATAACATTTTCTTGTGTAACATAGCTACTCAATACTCAATAAACATCTTTTGAAGGAGCAAGTTCCCCAGGCAAACATTCAACTCTACCGCACGCCGGCAAGAGACCAAAGTTTCATTGAAGACCTGAAAGATGGGGAAGACAGAACACAAGGAACCTGTGACAGCTCACAAAATCCCTCATTGAGGCTCCTCTCTGCTGCCACTGATTTCTCCACTCTCTCTTCTCCCACTGGTGCCCCAAGCCCTTTCCAGGATCGTCAGCATTTCCATCCCCCCCTCAGTTTATGCGTCCCATTCAACAAAAGTGCACATCATGGAAGTGGCCGGATGAAGGCACCTTCCTCAGGATCGCCGGTGGGAATCTCAGAACCCCCAGCCTCATGACCAGATGGGCGAAGGGAAATATAACTCTAGTGGCCTCAGGAAAGCATAGCAGTCTGTATTTTGGTGGCAGGAAAGGAGAAAGCCTGACTGACACACATGGCGGTCACCTGCCTACTTACTCTACGTGAATGAGGGTGGAAGGTGGGAAGGCCTCCCCACCCTCATTCGGCTCAGCTCTGATTGCCAAACCGTGCCCAGACCTAATCATGAAAAAGGGCGCAGTTCTGTGGGGAGGAAGACTGTGCCTGCAGTTTGTTTACCTCATTGAAGATGACAGGTGGCATACCAGACTGACAAGGAGGGCGGGCACACTGGATCTTGTTTTCTGTTTCAGACATCAAAGGTTGAGGTCTGGAATTGCATTTGTCTGGGTCTCCACTTCCATTGTGGTTCATACCTACACAGCCTGGAGGATGCTTGCTCCTGTCTTGTAGGGACCGCAAGACCATCCCTGGGGTCCTCAGAGCCTTGTCATTATGCTTCATGTGGGTGTAAAAGGTGACCAGGAAGTTCAGCAGGAAAAATCACTCTGGCTTCGTTTATTACTTTGATGAGGCCACACACATCCCAAGTGCTCTACAATGAAATATCTGGTGCACTTGGGCCCCCACATGCTGGCTGACCCACTGACTTTTTCCACTAAAGGCATCTCCAAAATGATGCCAGCTCAGGAATACCTTGTATGTATCCTTGAGCAAATCAAACGCATATGAGCTGCATCTACAGTATTATCTCCTATTTATTTCCTCAGAGCCAAACTTCTTGGCATAGGACTTAGACCTTTTTTTTTTCTTTTCTTTTTTTTTTTTTTGGTAAAGCTGATGGTCCCCAGGGTAAGCAAAAACACTGTCGCTTGCTTCTGAAGCTGTCTGATGATGGTTTGGGTGGTTTGTAAGTGGCCAGGACTTGGAGACTGAGACGTCATTACCATCATCTTCATCGTGCAGCAGGGCTGAGACCAGTGGGCACTTCAACTTCTTCAAAAACTTCTCTTGGAAGTTGCAATTCTGACGCCACATACAGAATCCTACAGGACCACAGCAAGAAACCTCCTTTAAGGCCCAGGCCAGCAAAGTGGCAGAGTATTTTCTTGCACCCACAAGCGAGGCGGGATGTGGGGGCCCAGCACATGGGCGGCCGGGGATGAGCAAGGCTTCCTGCTTCCTGGTTGTGAGCCGCAGCTTCCGGGAGGGGTCGAGTGTCAGGAACTGCCGAGTGGCCAGGCAGCACCTGCAGGAGGCTGCTGAAGGCAGGTGGAGGGCAGCTCGGGACAAGGCCTGGAGGCGGATGTGGGTGACTGAACAAAGCAGGTAAACAGTGACTCCCGAGAAAAGCCACGGAAAGAGTGGGGAGGCATTGTTAGAGATATGAGGAAGACACCTTTGTCCACCACCCAGAGAAAAACACCAACATCATCCCGGCATGTTTTCCTGCCATTTATTCCCAGTCCAGTCTCCAGACGAGTGATCGGTTTACAACCCACCCTCCAGTTTATAACCTGCCTTTTTTTTTTTTCCACTCAACATATGATGCAAGCATCTTCCCAGGTCATTAAATTCTTTTAATGGGTGAATATTATTCTCTCTTTAGGGCATGATGTAATGTTGGATGTTTAGGTTGTATCCAGTCTTTTGCTATTATAGTGCTGGACCAGTCACTTTGGGCATGGAATTTGAGTGTTCAGTCCTGCCCCGTGTACAGGTGGTGAGTTTTTGGTCTGGTTGGACTTATAACTTGAGTTTTCTGAGCCAAAGGGCAGAACAGCAAATTTGGGGGTATTTAAAAAATTTTTTTATTTAGTTTTCAAACCGAATACATATTTGTCACACGTAATGATCGTAGTCATCATGGGAAAATTGTACCTGTACATGGTGTGTCTTAATTTTCCTTTGTTTTCCATTCCCCTCACTTCCTTATCCCTTTTTCCCCTTCCTCCTTTACAAAAGCTTTGTTTCCATTTGGGGGTATTTTCTTGAAAAGCCAAAGGTCTTGGCTTGAGACAATGGGACTGAACTTGAGGAGATGTTCTCGGATGCTTGAGGCTGTGAGGCTGAGAAAACACTTTTGTCAGGAAACGGGAAAAAGCAGGTGCACAGTAATATAACTTGAGTCTATGAATCCTCCCTCTCCCCTCTCCTAGGTTTTTCTATCCCCCTGTCCTTTCCCTCCACACAGACGCCTGTTCCTCTTCAAGCACGCATTCATACCTTCGTTCTTTCAGTGAGGAGCAGGAGCTCACCGAGACACCGTGCTGGAGAAAACAAGGAGACCCGCGCAGGGAAACAGCAGCACGGTTCCCAGGGGCAGGGAGGCTCTGAGCATCCCTGCTGCCCGCTGGGATACCTGGGAGGGTCAAAGCGGGATGACAGAGGGCGGCCTGGCTGAACAGCCAACCCAGGGAGCACCCTGTTGTCGGGAGATCGCAGCGAAGCTGCAAAGCCAACGTGGGTGCGAAGTAGGCCGTAGCAAAGGACAGAGCTCTGGAAAATCCCTGAGTAAGGAACAGAAGTGGCTTTAGCTGCAGAGAGGTTGCCAATGGCAGCTGCAAGGACAATCAAGGGCTGACAGTGCTTTTTGTTTTTAAATAATAGGTTTTTCAAGATCTGATTCACCTACAAAAATGTCACCTAAATTCAGTGGTTTTAATATATCGAGTTGTGCAACTACTTACCACTGCGTAATTCTGGGACATTTGTATCCAAGAGAAACTCTGTACCCGTCGGTATCGCTCCCCATTCCACACACTCCCTGCCCGTTCCCAGGTGAACCACAAACCTACTTTACAGCTGTACGGATTTGCCTGTTCTGGACACTGTATAGACGGAAGGATGTAGTATGCAGAGGGTTTGTGACTAGCTTGCTAGCAGAGTCTTGTGTCAAAGATTCGTCTGTCGTCGCACAAATCCTGACTTCATTCTTTGTTACGGCTGAATGATATGCACTGCGTGAATGGACCACATTTTGCTTATCCACTCATCTGCTGGAAACGTGAATTGCTTCTTGATTTTGGCCACTGTGAAGAATGCTGTTGTGAACATTCGCGTCCAAGTTTTTCATGTGGACCTATGTTTTCATGTCTCTGGAGTACATCCCCAGGAGTGAAATTGCTGGGTCACGTCATAACTTTGCGGTTAACATTGTGAGGAACGACCAAGTTCGGCCAAGTTGTTTCCAAAATGGCCACAGCACTGTGCAGCGTGTGAGAGTTTCATGCGTCCTCCCTAACACCTATTGGTGTCTGGATTTTTTTTTTTTTTTTTTTGT